TGCAGCGCGAGATGTCAGTTTCCTGAGAGCTGAAAGATCGAAGATCAAAACTGAGTAGCTCTCAGCGGTTGATAACCTCCCATTCTCATCGCGTTGACAAGGTCTTCAACGACTTCGTCACGCGGCGTCCATCCCGCTAAATTCAATTCCGCCTGACAGATACGTATGTAATCTCCATTCATGGGATACAGACCCATTTCAACCATGACCAGCTTCAGTTGATATGTAGAGAGACTTCGTAGGTAGTGCCGTCTGAATGTCTTCAGGTGAGCGCATGCTCTTCAGATATTTGCTCTCCGGGGGTGGTGGTCAAGTGCAAAGGCATCTTGCCTTGAAAGTCAAGACGACCTGACTAACCCCAGAAGCCCCCCCATTAAAACTATATTCTAGTACTTGTGACTCACGAATAATTTATCTTCTTCGATAACAAGGTACTTAGAAACCCCAGAAGCCGGCGGGAGACTTTTCCAGATTCCTGAGCCCGCTGCACATGCAGTACTGTAAGATTGGACACACGTCGATCTCTATTCCTGAGTCGCAAATTGAGCCGGAAGTCAGAGCGAATGGTACTTTCGTAATGGATCGTTGACTCCTTTGGGAAACGATTGGACTTTAAGATTCTTGCAGCCGAGCCTGTATGTCACAAAAGCTGGAGTTGGATGATCGTTCTCCTCCCGCAAACCCACGTGAGACGCTGCAAGCGATCCTAAGGTAATCTACTGCCGACGACGGACTTGGACCTTCAGTCCAGATCAACAGCCAACAGCGGTATCATGTGGCTTAACATCCAAGCCGCCCCGCGCATTCAAAACTCTCTTTAAGTAACGGACCTGATCTACCGGCAACTATGAGTGGTACAAAGCTTGGATGAAGCTTATGTCGTGGAGAAGACTGGTTAACAAAGACATTCGGGAGATTCGTGAAATCGAGAGATTCGTGAAATCGAGCAGAGGATATGCTGAGCGACTATTCACTAACAGGGCATCACTACGACCAATGAGCGCGACCGTGCTGAAGTAGTATTTTGAAGGCGAATAAGGTCTGTCTCCGTTTAGCGTCGGAAGATGTTAATACTATAAGAAATCGTCCAGCCGACGGCGCCGTAGAAGAAATCACAGAGAACCCATATTTGAAATTCTTTGTTGGTCATCTACCTAGAATTCAAGGCAACCGACGGGATAGGCAGGAATGCCTTTGGTATATGGAGAACTTGAAAACAATGAGTTGAATTTGAAGCGTACGCGACTCGTAACATATCATTCATTCATCTAGATGCAGACATAAGACGGACGTCCATCCTTCTACTCGTTCAAGACAGGCGGCTAGAATATGGCTTTTGGCACGGGAGAGAGAGATAGAATTAGTAGCATGGACCTATACTCGTAACTATCAATGGTCCGCCTCCTCACGATTACCACGCCCAAGAGTGAGCTAGGCAAGCCTACCATCTCACGTTTTGGGTTTTGATTTACTTCATGGTGTAAACGAGCTGAGTGTTAATCCAAAAAGTTTCCATTGGTGCAACAAGAAATTGGCGAGACATGCACACATGAGGAGTAAGATTATGAGTGCTCGCCGGACTTAGCACCGATAATTAACTCACACATGTACCTTCATTTCATTTTTGTATGTGATGTAACATGTACGCCCGTCTTGCCTATATCAGAAAGTCGGACTTGGGTCATTTAAGCGGAATATTTTGTATCGATTGTGTATGAAGCTGTCTTGAGTGCATTCTTATCGTCAAATACAAGTCTCGAGCTCAACGTTTCTTTCAAGCAAGGAGAACTACAAATGACCTAGTACCTTCTCTTGAATGAATTTAAGACCAAACATAATAGCTCCATCTATTTCGGGGCGAGAAGTCTAGTATTGGAGGATCGGACACGGATGCTGGTGCCCTTTCCACCGGGGTTGAGCGCCCGTACATTGGAAATGGTGGGGTTGGTGAACTGGATGCTGTTGGTGTTTCCGCTGCGGACACCGTTGGTCCGGGCACCCCATGACAGGCTGATCTCCGGGTTGGCAGTCGACCGGCGACCCGGTCCGACGCCGAGAGGGTACTGCTGGCGGTAGGTGAAGGTTCCCTGGGTGAAGCCGGGACCCTCCCGGGAGACGCGGCCGAAGCCGGTCATGGCGGCATCGCCCTCGAGCTCGATGCCAGCCTCACCGGCGCGGGTCACGGTGGTGCCTACGTTGGTGACGGTGGCCTCGACAGCGGCAGTCTCAGCCGCTTCGGCGCCAGTGACCGCAAGGTCGACGGAGACATCTATGGTGGCGACGACTTCCGCTGCCTCGAGGACTTCGATGGTCAGCTCGATCAGGGCGAGGGCACCCAAAATGAGTTGGGCCTGAGCGTAGGCCGCGAAGAGGAAAAGAGGGAGGAGGACTCTCATGGTTCCGACTTTGGTCGAATATGGTGTAAAGAATGAATGTGGTAAAATGAGTGTGTAATTGAAGCGATTGTGTGTAAGTGAGCAACTGAATCGTGATAAGGAGACACCAACAACTTGGGCGATATCGACCAAGTCTTAAGTATGTGATCTAAGGAAGCCCGAGCCCGGACTGACTCCGGACATCTTCAACTATCTGTCCGATAATTGTGAACCATTAAGTTTTCCCGCGATAGTATCAATCAAATTGAATTATCAGTTACGAAGTTTCTACTTTTCCCAAATGGTCGAGAGATCTGCAACTGATGCCATTGTCACTTGCTTGCGAGTTATGAGCGCCGGATATGGTTTCTGCCAAGACTCAGCACAGACACATCTTCTATGGTTAGTCGCCGAGAATTTCCTAAGGCTTGCTTTAAAGGTGAGTGTCATCACGAGATTTAGAATTCGACGATTAGTTGGTACAAGTCCCGGTTGAGTCTATAGTGTAATCATCTAAGAGGAGTTACTTTCCCAAGAGAGGTCGTGTGAGGCTGATTGGTGAATTGAGTTAGACGACCTTGATGAGCTGGACGTTGGGTAATCCACCCTAGGCGCTTAGGAAGCGGAGTTGACAGCGTCTGTCCATCTCCTAGTCCTGTCCAGGTTTTGGTGAGGCTCTGATAGAAATCTCTTTGTCGTCTATAAGACTCATTTGTCTGACAAAATATATGGTGTCTTGGTGTTTGCGAGGCTTCTGATGCCGTAGAACGCCCACCATTCCACTACCGTGCATTTGTTTCTTTCGTAACATCCCCTTCTTTGCTAAACGTTCGTGCATGACATATATGCCTTCTTGATCACTCTATTACTCATATCGATGATGTTACTTTCGCGATTGCCCTAACACTCCCAATCCTCCGATCAGTTGTTGTTGTTATTCCGTTTCTAGCGTGATTCTTTCTTCGGCAATCCCGATTTACGAGGACTTAGGCCCCATAAATCTTGAACCATGAGACGATCCCGACTTTACCATGGGACATTTTCTCTTCCAAGAAAGTAAAAAAACAGTGATTCTGCGAGTCGACTGAGCCAAGACTCGGAGCCTGGAGATACCCTGTTGAGATTACGAGCGCATTCCGTGGCAGGGGTTCATCCGGTGTTACGCAGTCACGAACGACTGTATATATGATCATGAGCCACGCCGCGTCTAAGGTTGGTTGGACCATCTGAACAACAGCTCTCACATTCATTTTATCAACATCATTTGACGCTCCCTACACTCTTTTCAGGAAGCTTCAACTTGTACATTCTGTATTTTTCCACAATGCAGGCTTCTCTCTTCTTGGCTGCTCTCCTGGCCGCGGTTGTGCCTGCACTCGCCTATGAGGTGGGCACTGGCTCATGCTGCACAGCTCAGCTCAAGGCTTGCCACGAGCAGGGCGCCGATGCCTGCATCTGGACCAATGCGGCTATTTGCGTCAACAACCCCAAGAACTCTATCCCCATTGACGAGACTTGCAACGAGAAGTGCCCTACTGCCTCAGTGAAAACCCCAGATGGCTTCATCTACAAGTTCCAAAAGCATAAGTTAGTTTTCTATGACACTTGTGTCTGTCTAGTCACAAGCTTGGAACATTGGCTAATCAACTTTATAGCGCTCCCGCCGGTACCTGTGTCTGCAGCAACACCAACCCGAATGTTGGAAAGTACTGCTACGGGCGTAAGAGGGACCAATTCTGAGATAAAGAGAGGGGCTGAATTAAAGCATTGAACTTTTCAGACAGCGGCGATTGTAATGTTGTTTTGAAAGAATGATATATAAGCTAAGACCTTACGGTTGTTGTTGAAAAGCCATGAACTGTTCAAATTCGCCGATTTGTGGCCCTTGCCTATCCTTGTATCACGCACATGAAGAACTTTGAATGTCGGCAACCGTTTCCCGTCTCACAGCTCCCTGCTAGAAGCATGGACCGAGGCTGGGGTATTGTGATTGCATAGCCATACTACAGAAAGCTTCGGAAACCATGATCATGGTTTGACTTGTACACATGTCTCTGAAATGCGCCAATGATCTCCTCGATTTGTGGATCTTGAGGTGGGAGGACGTGAGACATGATGAGACCACAGAAGCCGTTGGTTCGATCAATAAACTGTAACTTATGTTTAGCACACGAAGTTGGAAGGGAGAGGACGCAAAGCTGACCCAAAATTGATTCGTTCCACCACCCCATACCAAAGTCTTTGATCCTCGTGGGCACTGCGCTTCTGAACGCCGACCGTCGATCAACATTCCTCCCAATCCCCAATTGTAGACCTCGCCGCGGTAGAAATCGCCAATGGTTAGTTTTTGCCTGTCGAAACCTGCCTGTAGAGCTGCTCTGCTTTGGTCCGACAAGTTGGCCTGGAACATCATCTCCACAGAATCGGGCTGGAGCACACGTGTATCGTTGCTGAAGATGGAATAGAGGAGCTCCATGTAGTCTCCTGCGCTGCAATAAGCCCCATGACCTCCAAAACACTCGGTGTCGACTCCTTGATTTAAGGTCAGGACGTTAGGATGCACCTCGAGCCTCCCGGTAGTTGCGTTTCTTTCCGTGAGCGTGGCGACCTTCTGGTTTTCCCCCTCTGCATTTGGCCAGAAAGTAAAGCTCGATGCTCCCAGTGGCGCCCACACGTGTAATTTTAGGTATCTTTCTAGAGACATGCCGGTAAGCTGCTCTAACAACTTGCCCGCCCAATCAAGTCCGCAACCATAGTCCCAGCCCTCTCCCGGTTCGAAGAGCAGCGGATCGTCGAAACGTTCTTCGATGGTAGGTTCCAAGGTAGCCGGGAGTTTTCCTCTGAGACTTCGAAGTCGTCTTAGGTCTTTATTCTGAAAGTAGTAGCTCGTGCCGGCGGAGTGTGTCAAGAGATGGCGAAGAGTTATTGGGTTGCGACGCTCGTTGAGAATGGGTGAGCCGTCTAGATGCCAGCCAGCCAGGACTTTCTGGCGTCCCAGAACTGGGAGCATAATGCTCACATCTGAGTCTAGTGTCAGCAGCTGTTTCTCTACGAGCTGTAACACAGCTACCGTGAGCGGGAGTTTTGAGCAGGAAGCTAGCGTGAAGACAGTGTCTTTGTCGACGGGGAGCTGATTGGGCCATGATGGCGATGGGCCACCTAGGCATTCGGATACGATCTCGGATCCTACCATTGCATTAGTTGTATGAGAGAGAAATCGGGTCTAAGCGGGATTATCTAACCATCACGACGTTTGGCGAAGAGTACTAACGACGAGAACACGTCGTCCTGCAAAGAGTTGTGAAGGAGTTTCTTGAACGGTGTCATCGTAGACAAGACCTTATGCTAGTTTCAAAAAGGTTGTCACAGGAGCGGCTGGTAATCAATAAGTATCGTTTGTGAAAGAAAGCTAGAAAGTGAAAACCTCGGCAGAAGGCTCCGCTCCGATGGGGTCCGCAAGAGTAAACCCCTGGCGCGAAAGATACAGCAAGTAGGTCTAGATTCATCGGGACTGCCTTATGGAGAAGATTTCATCACGTACTAGCATGGTGTCCAATATTCACTGTCACATATCCGTACCTAACTGATCACATAAGTGGGGGGCAAGTAGTTTGTCCGGACTATCCGTAGTGCAGATTATCGAATATGATATCTGAGGACGAGAAAGTCAAATCGCAATACGAGCATAGCTCTGCTGTGTGGGTAATGTCCGTGGAGTCGGGACTGTATGAGCTCGGTCTCGCATGGGTAGGGGTCATATTATCGGGATTGTGAATATCGTTGATTTGTCAATGGCGATGACGCGAATGAGAATCTTACCTTGAAGCCGAGAGGGGTAACAGCAACTGAGGGTTGTCAGGTTCAGTCTGATCTCATTTAGAGTAGTCTCTTTCAATCGTAAAGAATAAGATTGCCAGGAATGATCTATTAAATGGCTTGTCGCCAACTGCAGACTTGTGTTGGTATTATTACAAAAGACCAGTCTCTTATGCATTCACAATTAAGCGGCTTTCTCATACCTTTATACCAATATGTCGCCCAAGTGTCCCTGGATCCCCCGCCGCTTTTAACGTAGTAAGCAACGGTAAGCGGGGGTAAGCGGGGTAAACGAGCGTATAAAAGATCTATGAATAATGGAGTAAATACTCTTAATAAGAAACCTAAGTATAGAGTCGAGTTTCTTAGGAAAAAATATAAGTCGATTTTTAGAAAAGAATATAAATAAAAACTTTACACTAGTTTATTAATTATTAATCGTTAATAAGAAGAGTAATATTACTTTAATTAAACTATATTCACTAATATTTTTTATAAAAATATATTATATTAAATATAACTAGCTATTTTCAAACGTAAAACATAAATTATTTAATAAGTTTAATAATAATTAAAATAACTAGTAAATAATATATGATTTATAAATAAAATTAAAAGAGTAAAAGTATTATGGCTAGCTAGTTATAATAAATATATTAATAAGAGTTAAAGCTATAAAAGCTAAATAAATAGTATTATAATTATAAATAGCTTCTTAAAAACTATATTTATAAATTATAAAGTAAATAAAGCTTTAATAATTAATTATAGTTTTATTAAAAAAGGGTTTTTAATAAAACTAACTAAAAGTAATTATAAAATTTAATATTAAATTAATTATTAAAAAACTATAAAAAGTCTATTTTTTAATTTAATTTAAGTTTATATTATATACAAATCTCGTTTTTAAATATATCCTTTATAATATCTTTATTTATTATTATTTAACTATTTATTAAACCGTTATCTATTCTATTTATTTATATTTATCTATTTTATTTATTTATAGATATATATTTTTCATTTTAATATATAATTATAGTTATATATTTTAAAGGTAAATTTATTTACCTTATTATTTGCTTTATTCTTTATATTACGTAAGCATATTATATATTATATTAATCTATAATTTCTGTAGATTATTATAAGTATTAATTATAATTCTCTTAAAGTAGTATTACACACTACGATTACGCATTCACTTACGTATACGCTTATTAATTATATTATAATTAATAAGTAATAGAATATTCTAGTAGGAAGTTTTTATAACTATATAATAGCATCTTTTAACCTACCTAGACCTTTCGTTAAGCAAGCAACTTCTTATATAGTAATCTAACTATATTACTCTTTTTAAATATATAAACTTTATTTATTACGTTTATTACCCCTTTATTATAACTAGCTAGTTATAATAAATATATTAATAGAAGTTAAGGCTATAAAGGCTAAATAAATAGTATCGTAGTTATAAATAGCTTCCCTAAAGCTATATCTATAAGTTATAAAGTAAATAAAGCTTTAATAATTAATTATAGTTTTATTAAAAAGGGTTTTTAATAAAGATAGTTAAAAGCAATTATAAAATTTAATACTAAGTTAATTATTAAAGAAGCTATAAAAAGTCTATTTTTAAGCCTAGCTCAAGTCTATACTATATATAAATCTCGTTTTTAAATATATCCTTTATAATATCTCTATTATTATTATCTAACTATTTATTAAACGGTCGTCCGTCCTATTTATTTATAATTATATATTTTATTTATTTATAAGTATCCGTTCTTTATTTTATTATATAATCGTAGTTATATAATTTATTTATAATTTTTTTATTTTAAAAGGGGTCGTCCTAAGTCCGTCGTCTTTATATATATAGTATAATAGCCGCTATAGGTTTTATAAAGTAAGCCCTAGCTTTATTATATATATTAAGTCGTAATATTAGCTTCTCTTTTTAAAAGTCTAATCCCCTAGGCTTATAAATAGGTCGTCTATTTTTAAGTTAAGGAGTCGTTAAATATTTTTATTCGAAAATATATTAATATAATATTAAGTTAAATTAAAAAATTAAAGTTTTAAATAGCTACGTCTCGTCGTAAACTATTATATACTATTTACTTTTTTAATAAAAGTATAGAAATTATACTTTATTTATATTATCGTTTATAAAGCGTTCGGTATTTAGTTCTTTTTAATTCCGATATTTATAAAATATATTATTACCTAGGTATTTTTTATAATATTTTTATTAATACTATTTATATTCGTAAATATTATAATATTTATTTATTAAGTCTAGCTAATTAATATAGTTAATTATTTAATATTAAAATCCGATCGTTTTAATTATAAAAAGGAAATAAAAGAGTTATGATTTTAAAAAAGAGCTACGGAGTTATAAAAGAAAGCTAAGGTTTATTAAAAAGCTTAGGCCGAGTTAAATAAGTCGTTATTTAAATTAAAACGTTTTCGTTTATAAAAAAGAATAGTTTTTAAAAAGAGTTATATCGTATTAAAAGAATTCTTTAAAAATATTAAAAGTACTTTTTTAATAGTTTATAAAATATAAATTAATAATACTTTTAGTATAATTAATTAAAACGCTATAATAACTAGGAGTTTAGGGTTTAATTTTAATTTTAATATTCTTTAAAAAGCTATTAAAAGTTTTAAAAGTTCGTAATAGGTTCTCATATATTTTCTTTATATCCATAATTCTTTTATTTAATTAAGAATTTTCGTATTTTATTTTTAATTCTATAGTTAATAATTTTTTTAACTTCGTATTTTAGTTCGTTTAGTTCTATAATAATATAATCTTTTATATATAAACCCTTAAGTATTAATTTAAAAAATAAAATATAAAAAACTAAATAATATTTTATTATATCTAGGAGTTTTAATTTATAATTAATAAATAAGACTTTTTTAGTAATTTCAAAGGGTCTAAGTTTTTTATAATTTAATTTATTATTTAGTTATTTTATTTTAATATTATAATAAAGAAGATAGGCGCTATTCCCTTTTTTTAAAATTAGTCCTCTAATCCTAGATCTATCTACGTTTTTCTTTATATATTAATATATAAATTCGAAGTCTAGAAATACTTTTTTTTTAAAATTCTTTAAGTTTCATAATATTCGCTATTACTTTTATAATTTATAATCTTTATTATATTTCTTTATATATTATTAACTAAAATCCGTAGTTAAAATAAAACGGGGATTTTTTTATACTTTTACTTCCTTAAACTAAGAGACGGCTAATTTGCCGCCTTTTTTGGCAGCTTCTGCCGCCTGATCCAGCGGGCCATCTGCCATGAATCAGTCGCCGCTTTACAATCAGGCACCATCCCCACCAAGCGACCCTCGCCCTTTCCCGTTCCAAGCACGTACCCCGGAGTACCTGCCATTGTATCTCAGCCACACTACCGTCCTGAACAGTCCACGCGGCTACGGCCAGTTTGTCTAGTCTTGACTTCCCAGTCCTTCTTTGTGTATTGGTTTCCAACAGCCAAATGTGGCCGCCAGAATGGGCCCTGCCATGACTCACCCTTTGCACTATTTAATCCACGAGTGCTGCACTGCCCGTTGAGCCGATTCCTCGATTCATCCGCTCTCAAAGTCAGACCATCACGACTTGTTCGATCATCACCTCCCGACTGCCGAACCACTTCCCACTATGGCGAAGCGCCGACGTACGAACGTGGACGATTCCGATTCCGATGCCTCATTCGCTGCCGAAAGTGAAAGCGACGACTACGACGAGGACGACGTCTTTGATACGAAGGATGAAAAAGGCGATTCGAGCTCCGACGCAACCGATATCGACGATCTCTGCGATGACGATGTGGATGTCGAAGACCAAATTAGACTCTTTGATGGCAATCTTCAGTCATCCGAGTATTGGCGACACAAGGTCGAGGCGTTCACTGAGGACCCCTTCGCCTGCCAGGATTATAGCCCTGGGACGACGGTGCTTCTCGATGCCGTGGAGGAACAGTGGCGACAGTACGTGCTCGCAGACTTCGTACGTTGTCAACCTGCTGACGGTATTCATTTACAGGTTTTGTTGTGTTCTCAAACGCGATCCAAAGGAATGCTATGCAAAGATCTCGCTCGGCCTCATGTACAATTTTTTCGACTGGGTCATGAGTCAGAAGATTGGTAAGAATGGCAGAAAAAAACGCGGAATCAAGAAGAAGAGCTCTTTGGGCACATACTGGAAGGTCTTTCGACTCGTCTTCGAGAGAGCCGTGGGTGAAAAGATTAACCAGAAGCTGAACCGCAGCATGCACAGAGCAGGTTCCTTCCACACCGACATCAGTGCTCATACTGACTGCTCTAGGTTCTACGAGATTTAGGAAAGAAACACCGGCTGAGCGAGCAGCGGCGAGTTAATCGTTGTATGACGATCGACGATCTCAAGCTGCAGATCGAGACGACGCTAAGCACGACGAAGAAGTCGTTCAAGCTTGGGGAGCTGCGCATCCTCGCCGTGCTCTTTCTCCTCCTGCTTGCGCCGGCCGGTTCTCGCCCAGAAGCGACCCTGAACCTGCGGTTCAAGGACATCAGGGTCGTTCTGGCCAGAGACCCAGAAGGCGGACCACACAAACTTCTCCTTCGCTTTACTCCGGAGTTCACCAAAAGCTATCTTGGCGAGAAGGAACAGTGAGTCGTCCCAGTCTGCTGCAACCCATAAATCATACTTACATCATAGGAAAACATACTCCATCCCCGAGACGATGTTCGATCCGTCCTTGCTCCTAAGCCCCCATGTATTCCTCCTCGGCGTCCTCTTCCGACACCGAGCTTTCAACGCATCCAGCCTCACCTCGCCACACCATCTTGATAACCTCGACATACATCCTGGCGAGCGGGAGCTGCCCCTGCCGTTGAGAGAGGACCTGAATGATACCTTCATATTTCGTCGGGTCATCGAGACATTTACAGGCTATCAAATTTCCACCAACGATCGTATCACCTCTGGCATGATGGCGGCGTGGATTCAGAGAATCGGCGAAATACTCGGCTTCGAGTACCCTACGATAGCGTACAACCTACGCTATAATGCTGCCAACGCGTTCGACCAAAGCGGTTTGTCTTCTTGATAGCTTAGTAGCCGGTCATGCTAACTCGCAACGCAGTCGACGTCAGCGAAGCCCTCCGGAATCTGGCTCTAGGACATGGCAACTCCGATCCTTTCCAGAGACACTACCTCGGACGGAACATTTCGGCCGACCTTTGGGGCGTCCTCCGAGGGCAGAAGCCACAGCAGGCGCTCATGAAGCAGTCTTGCAGCATAGGTCACTCTATCTCCGAGCGTCGCCCCACCGGCCTCACAACAGAGCAGTCTGCATCGGTCGCCACGCATCCGACTATCAGGGAGCTGACAAAAGCTCTTCGAGAACTGCCGCAAGGCTCCAAACAGTACAACCAAGTCAAGCGAGCGAGACGGAACGAAAAGCAGAGGCTTCGGAGAGAACTCAAACAGAGAATCAGAGACGAGTGGACTGACAAGCAAGCCACAGACGACATCGAGCGTCAGATACATGGCATCGGATTTGACAATCCTGCGACGGACAACACCTGTCGACCTCAGGGCACAGCACAAAGGCACCTGATGAAGAAACTCACTGCCCCGACCGTGACCACGCTCGAAGGTCAATATCGAAGGAGGGATGAAGCCATCGAGGCTGTTTCCACATATTGCCTTGTCCAGGAAGGATGCACTGTGCCCCGGTCTCGCCCTCTGTCGACACCAGAGGCCGCCGTTTATTGCTCTACTTCTAATCCGCCTGAGGGTGGCCAGTTGGACCTCGCCATACGATCTGTTTTTATCACTAACGATAAGGAGCGGCCCAAGAGATGCTTTATCTGTATTGGACAGGCCTTGGATTTAACTCCAGATGGCAAGGCTCGATTGGACGAACTCACCCATGAGTTCTACACATCTAATGATTTGACCAAGCACTTCCGAAACAAGCATTTGTCCAAGGTTGCGGACGGTGAGAGACCCGAGTGCAAGGTTTGCAAAATGACGCTCGAACACAAAATGCACCTCCAAAATCACGCCATGAGGATACACGGCACGGTGTCTTGATCACTCATGATGCGAGGCACAAGGTTCTGGAGGGCAAACCGAAGATGTCGAGATCCTCAATCAGGCGTACTTCCGGTCTTGAAATTCAATGCTGCGGCACGCTTACACACAGGTTATGAATGGTTCTCTGATTACTTGCCTTGTCCTGACTTTTATTACGAGGAATGCTGATTGACGGGGCTTATCTGGGGGTTAGAGTACGCGCGTGACAAAGGGAGAGGGGCACATGCACATTTGCCCAACTACTAAGCAATTTAAGGAGAGGTTTGCTGATAGATCCATTCAGCTTCACGGTCTGTAGATTGATACATAGACAACAAATGACTTTAACTTGATTTGGACTACAGGACAGCCATGTGTCTCACAACCGTAGCCGTGAACGACATACTCCCCGTGAGCATTCGGACGTTCGTGACATAACGGGTTCAATCATGACTTGACCTGACCACGACCATGACGAAACCCCGAATGCAGCCCTTGAGCGCCCTTATGAGCTACCGCCTCTTCCTCAGGCGGACCTCATGGGAGACCGCCCGCCAAACTCAAGAAGACCAACATGACAAAATCTTTGAGGGATGGAAGTTGAGAGGGGAACCAGGGCCACCACACAAAATAGCTCATTGTGCATTGCAGTTTTTTCTGGTGAAGCCAATGCCAATCCACCTGCTCGTGCAGAAACTTGAAGTAACCCAGTCTCCTCGACGTACTACTACCGTTGTATGTGAGGACGATCCCATGAAGACTAGCTCTGCAGGAGTAACAGAGCCTAGATCGAGCTCGTCGCATGAGGCCGACACGGACCAGAAGCCCGGCGGCTGCGGGGCCATCCCCAGGGGACTCCGGGGAGGAAATACGAATAGCTTTCCGCTGTTAGGGATTCGCGTACGGAGTCGCCTGTTTCGCCAACAAAAGATGCCAAAAAAAGCTAGGCGAGAGGCATGTGAGATATGTCAGGTGGGAAATTGCGGCCTAGGGATAACGGAACTCGTATTTACTACAAACTCTCGATTTTCATAAGGCTGAAAGTTTTGCTGCTCATATTTTCCCTTTTCCCTTTTTCCTAGTTTAAGACTTCTTTGCAAGACTGGACACTGAAAACATCTCTGCTCGTTATCGGACGATGCGGGCATTCATTGATCCTGCGAAGCGAGTCCTAGCAACATGCTATGCATCTCTGGGTTCTGCGTCGGCACGTACGCCGACGCCACCAACAATCTTCAATGCGGAAGCCGGACAACGGCCGCAGTGTTACCCGAGGACGCTATCGGCACCTGTTCTCTGCTTCTCTGTTCACCCACAACAAACTCCTAACCCCCCATCTCCCTTCTTCCCTCCACTCCGTCGGCACCATCCTCGTCCACCTGCTATGTCCCATCGGGACCGTAACGACCTTACCTTCTATTCCCACCCATGGCTCCTGCACTGCTATGATCGTGAAGTCCCGCAACGCCTCGTCATTCATCAAGCTCTCGGTGGGCCGCATCCTGCTTCCTCTCATTGAGCTGAAGAATCTGGACCTTCTTACCCATGATAGGCGGGTACAGCTTCGGGCAGTTCTTGCTGAACGACTCGTGCGGTCCGCCGCAGGGCAGGCATTTCACCATCGTCTCGTGACACTCAGAGTGGTGGTGGCCTACCTTGGCACAGCGTCGACATACCTGGGGATTTGCGCACTGGTAAGACTTATGCTTCGCGATCTGCTAGCACTTCTAGCACTGCTGGGGGCGTGGCCGCCGCTCGAACGCCATCGTCGTGCCGGACTCCCCTCCGGCGTGGAAGAAGCCCTCGGAGATCAGTTTACGCGCATCACACCGCCAGCTACCATGTCCGTCCGTCGCGCGCATCTCTTTTTCCACCGCAGCCCGGACCCGACCGGCGTTGAGCTTGTCGCTGCCGTCTTCTACCCCCGACGTGTCGATCGTACAGAATACCAGTTCGTCACGGCCCGGCGGCGTTGTGTAGTCCAACGTAGCCATCCTCGAGTCGCGAGCTGCCACGCCTAGACCGCTTCGCGCGACGTCCGCGTGTAACACACTGGGGCTGTCCCGCGTTGCCGCCACTGTCGCGAGTGCTTCGAGATTTTTGTTCGTTTTGGCGCTTTCATCTTCTACGCGTTCTTTTATCGCTTGTAGCTCCCCTCTAACTGTCTGTAGCTCGCTTTTAACTGTTCAATGGGCTCCACTGATGGCCAAGCGCCCACTCTACCTCTCGCTCGTCCAATGAAGAAAGGTGAATGTATCCCACATGCGGTGCAAGACACCACCCAATCAAGATACAGTATCATCCTTCCACTTCTTTGGTGGGGCTTTCCCGGAGCTCTCCCTACCCCCCTCCGCGACTGTTCCAGCTTAGCCTGCAATGATTTCCGGGGCAGGCCTTGGCTGGTCATGCATGTTGGGTCCGTGACACAAACCTTTTTAGGGTAGGGCAACCGAATCATGCTCCGTGCACTCTTGGTGCAACAGGACGACCGCCTTGTTTTAGTGATGCCGAAATGCCGCCTAATTGTAAGCAAAGTCAGTATCAATTTGTCACATGCTGCAAAGTCAACTACAGTGCAATTTCTCTACTAGCGTCCTCAGTCCGAACGACTATGACATGAGACAGTGGGGACTCAGGTTTGCAAACAACGGTAGTTCCACTACTACGTCGTACAGCTCAGCTCAGCTAGGAACCCGCCAACACGATATGTGCCATGGAGCCAGGAGTAGATGGGTCTATGGCACAGACCGACGAATTCAGAGACGCCGATTCCTGGATTAAAGTCAACTAGATGCTTCCTTTCTCAAGATGGAAAGCTCCTGAGCCGTGTTCGGCTCTTTTCTCGCGGATTTAGGTTGTCTTGCTCGGCCAAACAGTGTCCAAGCAAAGTGCCTTGAATTCTTTTGTCTATAAGTCGAATCCCCCAGCCAGTCAGTCATTGATGACCAGTCGTCACACGTCCACATACCTACTCATTCTTTTAGCCTCGACTTCTACAGTCATATCAGCTCCTTTTTTCCACATTCATTCGTTCGATAAAGCTCTAGTTAGGATACGATGCCCTCATTTCTCTCCTTGGTCCTCACTAGTGTGATGACCTACTCTGTCTTAGCTAGCATCTCGTCTCCCAATTACCTCCCCTTTGAGCTTGAGAAACGCGACTGCGGCTTCAGCTACTGCGATTGCCAGAAAGTCCAGTGTTTTCTCGACTTTTGCTTCGACGATCACGTAGATCCCTGGGTTCTGGTCGACAGTGCCAGTGCGTCCCCCTACGTTTACACGCCTTTTCTCCGAGACAACTAAGACTTGCTGACACCTTTTTAATACAGTGAACCAGTATTACGGGGTAGACTGTGGTCAGTTCGATTATTGGAAACGCAACGAGCCCGCTGAGTATTGTAACAACGGGCTGCGTAAGGGAAATGCTCTCTTCTACATTAACCGCAAGTTCGGCTCGCTTGGTAAATCATTTACGGTTGATTACAAGAATACGGACGCCAAGGCCCCAAACCGCGGCTCCGTGTACGGATCCTGCCGCCCAGTCCAGGACGTGCAGTGTACTTGCCACTCGCGTTACAATTCTGCGAAGCATGACTGCTCAAGAAGCTGCGATGATTGAGAAGGCTGATGGCGCCAACAATAAGATGAACTGTACTCCGTCAGGGCGGACAATGTGAAGCGGTCAGAAGTGGTGGATGAGGAGCACGGCACCATGGCTGCAGTGTCAGAAGCTTTCAACAAGAAAATAAGTTGAGTCACAGAAATACCCTGCACAAGTAAGAAAAACACAGCGGAGGCGTAAATGTCAATGGATGTATTTTTGATCGTAAGGAAAGGCTTGTGACCAGCTGTAGTCTTATCAGGAGTGAGGATAACTCAAAGCGAATGAACAAGTGCGCCCGACGGAACTGAGGGGTGTCCTTTATCGGTACATACGTAACGAACTGATAACATCCTGAAGCATTGAAGGATGAAAATCCTAGTTGCTGTATAGTGGAACATTGTGGATGAGCGAGAGGAGGTGAAAGCACAACAAACTTTCGCTCCTCAATCCGAAGGAAGGTATCCAATCTTGAAATACTTGTTCGCAGCATACATGTACTGGCCGAGTGGCCATGATGTATTCTGCTCGGTTCATTAGCTCGCTTTACATAGCTGACACAATAGCTTAACCTACAATAAAGGCTACATATAGAACTATAATACACAGCCTATTATGAAATCGCTCCTTTTGCCAGCAGCTATGTCCGGACAGTGGGGTTTGGCTAATAGCCAAAGCGTCAGAAGAAACAAACTTGAATACATTAAAAATCAAAAAATAAGAAGAAAGATTTTTTTCTTTCAAGTATAGAAATCTCGCCTTATTCAACCCGCTCCTATGGCCGCTTCGTCCGTATAGTTTAACTAAACCCTATTTCCCGCCTCGCCCATTTATTTATATAATACTTTTAATTAATGACTCCGCAAATTCATTTATCCCCGACGAGGTGCACTCTGGTACCGGCAATATGACTCTCCGTAGAGACATCCTTCGTTCGAACCAAGCCAGTAGCTTCAGAATACTTTACCGTGACTTCGTGCCCCGCCTCAATGCCCTTGCTCACTAGGATAATACGCTGCGTGCTCATCCACACAAACTGCTGGAATTGCGCGTTGGGCTGGCAACTGTGATTGATGAACCTCGTGAAGTTTCCCTGCCGACCCTGCCAGATCTGATAGGCCCGGATGCCCGTGGAGCTGTCCATGACATCCATGTTTTGCAGACTCTCGTGATGAGACCCACAAACTCTCCTATCGCCGCGCCGCGCTCAAACGGACAGAGAGCTATTAGGCCATTGTTGCGTCTGTCAAAGGTTCGGAACACCTGCACCGGGCAGGGGCTCCGGCGCCCGGACCCAAATAGCGTCGGGAAGCAGTGGCAGGAGTTGGTCTCGGGGTCTTCGGACTGTTCCCGCCCGCACAATTGACATGTGTGTATGTCTTGGACGCCAGCCACGACGTTCACTGGCGGTACCCACCGTGGGTCATCGGCACCCCACGCGCTCATATCTATGACTGAATGTTCAAGCTGCTCAAAGCTGAAGTAGGGGTCATACTCGAGATATGTGGACCGGAGCGGAACCGGAACCGATCCGTCTTTGTGGACCACCCAGTCGTGTGGGTGGCCGGAAAATTGGCGCTGTGTACGTTCGCCAACAATCATGAGTAGATGGCGCCATGTGGGTGCAGCGTATCGGCAGCGACCTCTATCTGCGGCCGGACGCACCGGAGTCGCTGCATACTGTTCGGGTCAAATGCAACTCTGTATTTGCAGAAGCGGTAGAGTCCATGCCGGAAAAGACAAGCGCTGCCCAGCCTCCCGCATCCTTGATATCCTTGTAGCCGCGCCAAATGGCCATCTTGTTTCGTAGCTCCTTCTCGGACCACCCAAGTCGTTGCATGTCTGAATGAGCCTCGCTTTGCGGCGTTTGGCGCGGGACATGTCGGGTTTAGTGATGGCAAGTAGCTCGACGTACAGTCAAAGTGCTCGATCCACCGTGCTTGGACAATAACCTCGATCAGGCGGTACGCGCGGCGATTTCCGTGATTTTCCGGCAAAAGATGTTGCCGCGGTTGAAAATCCCTCGATCTCAACTCATCCAGCGTACCTTCTGCTGAAGACGCCTGGAGCTGGCTAAATTCGAGCTGCTCAGGAAAGTAAGTCTTACCAGCATCATTGATGTCTGTCGTTGCTGCCATTACAATGAGCTGCCACTGTTCAAGCAGATTTGGGAATCCAAGCTGATGCTGCCGTGAATCTGCTCCCAGACGTTGACGACGAATTTGTCAATGGGGACTGCTGTGGATGGAGACGACGTCTGTCTGAAAGTTTACGCGTTAGGGAAACTGTTGATAAACTGCAAATGCCGCTGACTTCCGGGGGATCTTCTTTCACCTCCGCGCTTTTCCTGACTGATCGCAGCGTTGAGCCCCCCATCTCTGATATGAAGCATTAGCTTTAATCTCGGGTGATAATTGCGGCAGTCCTTGGATGGCGTCCTTTGCGCTCGGAAAAAATGCGGGCCAAAGGTGACAGTGTTGGCTGATCGATGGTGTTTCCCTTCCCGAATTGCTCGCATTCAGTCTATTATTTCGCTCTGTGGAAGGATGATGATAAGTCTAAGATTTCTGCATATCGATGATGATAGTTAGCAGAAGAACCTCTTGTGCTGGTCAATTACAGCCCCACCCATGTGGCTGAATTACGGAGGAGCCGTGAAATAGACCCAACAGTTGATTATTCGATGCTGACTTATCCACCACTCTATCTCGCAGTAATTATTTGCGTTATAGAACCGGAGTTGCACAGGCAAATGAAGGCTAGACCTTGCCAAACAACCCGTGCTAAGGGGAGGTCCAGCCCTCGATGATTAAAATAGATGTGCAACATACCGAGATCATGGGAGAGCAGGGGTTTGCCACTGCATCCCCTGCTCGCCGTCATGGATGAGAGCTTCAAATCGAAGCACCGGGTTTGCTAGGTTCCTGGACGAATAATCCCGCAGGATTTCCGCGAGCTGCTCTAGAATCACGCGGCAAAGACTCTGTCGTAAATTGTCCATACGCTGCTCCGGAGACGTCATGATCCAACGTTGGCGGTAGGAATCAGCCGGTGGGAGAAACGTCTTGACGGCAAATGGATTCTGGTTGCGCTGGGAATCAAGCAGCCGACGTTTCAAAGCTATGTCTAGGTAGGTTACGGCGGTATATCAAAAGAGTCAACAAAGAGTTGTCGAAGGGGAGGGGGATAAAAAGCGTTTTCAGAAAGACGATCTGCAGAAGGATAGGTTGAAGCTTGTCTATATCGTTATCAGATGGCTGATTACTGGGCGTTGTAGCGGGCCCACGGGCGGGTAACGGCACCAGTACCACGTCCATGCTCTTCTATACTTTGAAGGTCGGGCCAATTATGTCGACACAAGGTGAGCCGAGCATATCTTATTTTCTTTCCCTCCTTCTTCTCCTTCTTCTCCTCCTTTTGGGTGTGTGCATACATGCAACAACCGAGGAGATGTTAGGTGGTCTACCATGGCCGAGTGGAGCCCACCTGGGAGTAAGGAGCACATAATCTAACATATGGCTGTGCGAGGTGGGAATTTGATTTTTCCCTCCATTAGAGGATAGTCGCAGACGTAGTCAGAGTCTAGTTCTTCAAACGCCAGCCTGGAATAGTCCGACGAGGATTGTTGGCGCGGAGACGGAGCCAAATTGCTGGGTCGACCGAAATTCTGAAGTAGAAAGGGGGCGGGTGTGGAATTGGGCAAAAAGACCCTCCTAGCATCGTACACTTTTCGTCGCTTGATTAAGTTTGAAGGGGTGGCGTCACGGCCATAAGTACACAAGCCCCCCCCCCCCCCAAATGGGGTTAAATTGACCTGTTTCTGGCGGGTCCGCCGTCGATGTTGCGAAAGCATGACCAAGGAATAGGCTGGCCCACTGGAGAACAAGCGTCGTACAAATAAAGCTCACGTGGCCTCGGCTAGCCGACATCATCCTTGTCCCGATTAGATTGCTTGGAAACAGCCAGTCTGGGCCTAGCTGAGTCAGAACGTCAAAAGTGGTATGTCGTTCAACTGACCTTGTTCATTTATTTTAGCTTTTCCTACCCTGACCATGAGGCTTTTGCAGAGCTTGAGAAACGCGTCGGAAGCCAGCACTCGCCAGGGTGAACGGTGAAAGGTGAATATGCGCCACGAATGGTCGCTGGAAATTGGGTCACTTACATTCTCATAGTTTGGCCGACACACTTAGTGGCCGACTCCCACAATATTTCGGCTCATCTTATTGTAATGTATCCCGAATAAACACTCATCGACGCCTCCGATGCCTCCGATGAGGCCGAGATCCCCACGGCCATGACGATCATTAGTACCTGAGCGCTACGGGCCACGGAAGCTACCTATAAAATAGAGCAAAGATACCTACAACGAACCGACAACATACCCTGTCGCTTCAATAAGCAAGTTTCGGCCAATAGAGATGCCTGTCACACGTTGTGTGGCAGTGCAGTCCCAGCACACCGAGGCTTGACCGAGCTACTCTTACCTATGCAGTTCTCGATCCCAAGATTACCCAACAAGTCGCCCATCTCAAGTGGCTCTCTTAGATTTCTTCCGCCATGCGAGTGTTGAGCGGTACCATACATCCTATGCAGAGCCATCAACATCATCCGTTGACAGTGCTGCCCTTCCAGCCCGATATCGACACCCAAGACAGCCATCAAGAGTTTCAACAACGCCTCCTCCCAGCGGCATCATGCATGCTCTCGTCGTCTTGGGGTTTACCCGCATATGATTAAGAAGTCTCCGCCGTCGCAGGAGCTCAATCAGCGGGCCGAGGCTGCATGCAATGCCATGCAAGCTACCTGTGTTGAATAATCGATGTCTGTTAGATGCAATACACCTCGGGTTCATTGATCAAAGAGTGATTGCTGTTCTTCATTGAAGGATTCTTCCCATCCCGGTCGAAGCAAGGTTCTGTCTTGTATTTACCCGTCATCACCCGTTCTTGCATATTATTCAATGCATTTCTAGCATCCCTTTATCCAGACACAGTCGTCAATCCAGCAGTTCTTGCAAATTACAGTTATGCGGATTACCAGGTTTCAGCTGCTTTTTATCCGGACACAGGCGTCAATCTAACACAGTCTGACAGTATGTATGTACGTATTGTCATTCTAATGGTACATGATTAACATTGTTTAATTCGCCATCATAGGAAACATAGCCTTCTTGTGTGAGGTTCTTGTTGCTTTATCCACGAATCCGTTGTTGAAGACCAGCGAGGACCATGGACCGTTGGCCGCGTTGTGGGCAAATCCACCACCGCACAATATTGTGCATTGGTCTGATGCAATTCGTGCCTATTCGTATCACTCTCCGTGTCGCGGTGTTTTCTCCGCCAATTCTCGGCGGAACCAATAGTCGGCGGCGGACTGTTGTCGACAGCATGCAATTCCACGTTCTCCGTCAACGCTGGCAGTAGACGGCGCAGAACCGGAACGCAGCCGCAAATAATGGCGAAATTGGCTTCTAGTGCTGTCCACATCCAGAGGTCGAAACCGTCCCATGTAATATCGTATGTCATCTCCACGACGTAGTAGGTCCACCACGCTCTCATGATGCCCGCCGCAACGACCACGATACCAAGACTGAAGAGGATCATTAAGACGATTCTTTGGAGGATTTGAAGCCTGAGTCGAAAGAGTGTGGGCATTGGAAGGAGATATACGAGGATGTCGGTGATCACGCTTGTCACGGTCTGTCCAGCCAACGGTGGCCATTCTGCCATGCAGTTCATGTCCTGACCTATCGGATCCCAATTATGCCATATGGGACTTTGGTTTCGTCACATTAGCTCGGATCACGAGATTTACATCCCAGGGTGTCTCACTTACATGCATTGCGTCCAAGTCACTATGAGAAATATAATCATCATGGCAATCACAGCACCGGTGATAACCTGGGTGCCTCGCTGGAAGGTGGACCCGAGAGGAGCTATTCTTAAATAGCTCGTAAGAACGGAGAGCTTTGATAGGCCAGACGCAAACACAAAGAGTGTCTGTCCCAAGAGAGAGATCTGGATAAGGGTTGTCAGAATGATGTCTCAGGGCGCCGTCTTTGGGTCTCCATTCTTACTTGACGGCCTTGCATGCGCTGCACGAATGTTGTGTCCCATACATGGATGTTCCATCCGTATCTCTGAGTGGCTGTTTTGAAGAGTCTCAGCCATTAGTGCTAAGAACATTATAGGAGATTGCATGTACAAGGTCCGTATCTACAATGACGCACACGGTCACGAGAATTGAGAAAATCTGAATTTGTTTGTTAGCCTTGAAGTGTGGGATCGAAGGAATCACGTACAGCAGCGCCAACCTTAAGCCAATCATCCCACCAACTCTTCCGCATCATGAAGGTCCTCACATACAGCCTGAGCAGTATGCAGATGAGAGCAATGCTGAGCGAGATACTCTCGATGATGAGCAAGGACGGCCCTTTCGATTCGGGATCAACTTGATTTGGTGGCGGCCATGACTTGACAACTTCGGGTAGTGGGTATCTCATGATGTTCGATGTCCAAAGATGCTGTCCACTTGATTCGAGCCCCGTAGTAATCCGGATAGTTGTGGAGGCCAAGTTTGTATCCGGATACCTTGGAGAGGTGAAGATGGGGGCGTGATGCGAGAGACACCAGTAATAGGCCTCCCCCATGCTTTATCTTAATCTCCATGGATGGCTTAGATACGTATTGACCCCGAAGAAACCCCTGGTCCCCAAGCGTTAGCGAAAGACATTACCAGGTGTGTTTCTGCAAGGCTACCGGCCCCTAGCGCTTCTGTTCATCAGGGCAAATCCACAACGCTTGCCTGCATCGGTATGGTGCGCGATTGCATTGTGTTTGACACTTCGCATCTGGAGGTCTAACTGCCGCGCGACAAGTTGTTCTCTTATTTTTCCCACCTGTCTTAATGAGAGTCTGAACAAAGAAGCGAAGACGTCAGGGGCAAAGAGAGTTTTCGCAGACTTCTGCGTAGTATGACAATTTCATGATAGTGGGGTGGGGTTTCCATTTACATATCTGACTCGAGTCGAAGTCACGGAGCTTTTTTCAACGGGAAGAGGCGCTAATGGGCGCCGTTCATCTATTAGGTAACAGCTAGTAAAGGCAACAACTTGGAAGGTTTTGCCAGAACGTTGACAAGCTGAAAATGTTTTACTCCCTCACCTTATCGTGGACTACCCCCATGTATACAGACGCAAAAGGTGGTGATAAAGAAGTGCAATGCTTTAACAACAATACGAGACAGTTTTATTACCACATTATGCTCCTCGCCCTTATCGGACACCGATGATCGCCCAGGGCCTCCTCCGCTATGTTGCACTCCAGTTCGACATGTCAGAACCTTCCTCCTGATCGACACCAGGAAATATTCGTAGGGCGAAAACCACCAACACTAGGTTACTCTCGATTTGGGCCGTGAAGTTGCAAAAATGCAGGGAGCTCAGGTCATCCGCAATATGTGTCTCGAAGCTTTGTGAATAGAAGTTCGGATCCAGAGATGTCGCGTGGAAGGCTGAGATGTGACAAAGAGGTGGTTGCAGTTATTTGAATTTCACCTTTCGCTACAATGACCCGCAAACATCGAGTGGTAAGGCGGCGTCAGTAAAAACGCCCTAACTTTGCATCACGCTGTCCGCAAATGCCGCTACCGTGGACCACCACCAAAGTGCTCATGTGGGACTTTTGGTTTCCACCATCTTACTCATGGGCGGCTCTGACTAGACCGTGTTCCTGCCACTAAGGCTTTGGCTGTATGATGACCAACTTAAACTCCGCTGTGGACTCGAATGGTTTCTTTCACAGAATAGCGTTTGCGTTTTTGAGATTGCTCTTGATCAAGGGCTTTTCCTTGCTAATATGCTTGGTACACTGACTCAGCCCCTTTCTGGTCACGGCGCAGACCTGAGTACGAGTCATAGAGGCGCTCGAGGCCAAGTTACCTCTTTGCAGGCAATAAATCAGGTTTCACGATCCCAGAGTAGCGTTGAGCATGCGTCGTCTCCTTAGCACTAACGGTAAATTTGTGCCATTTCTATTGGCGCCTCACAACAAGCCTGACCTTCATCGAGCCCGGGCCAAGGACAGACTTCCATAGCTTCTTCGGCAATCAACTTGGTATCAGATCTCCCGATTATTTTCAGCTATCTTCACTGAGAACCTCCTGACAAGATTATGCTTGATCACCGAAGCCTTACGTACCTTGAGACTTACAGACATAGCTTCAGGGAAGCCATCTATGACTACGACACTGTTTATTTAGCATCGCAGTCTTAACTTCTGTTAACATACTCACTACGACTAGCTGGCCGTAACACTTGGCGGCTGCTTTGCGCTTGTTTAGTATAACCCGGAGATTGTGTCGTCCTGGGAGGGTTCCGAATTCCCGGCGCCGGAGTTATCGAAACCTGCGGCATTATAGTAGAATATGCGATACCGTTTATCGTCCTTCCTAGCAGGGGTAATTAGCGTTGGTACTACCCGGTACTCTTCGGTTGAATAGGAATTCCTGGAGCCCGATCTTTTCCGTGCGCATCTGGACCAAGAGTGCGCTTTGGCGTTTACTAAGGCCTTCGTAGAGTCCGAGGACCTTCTTCGTCGGCTTGGGCGTGAGACGGAACGATGTTCTCCCTCGCGTCTCGGTTTCCCAATTGGTTTGCCACGCGTGTGGGACTGTTTATGCGACCATGTCTTGACTGTCGACCTGAGTTGAACAGGGCTCTCGGCTTGTCTGCCCTGGAACCTGTCTGTCTGTCTGGCTCCATCCCGTCGCCTTCTTGGACGCGATGTCTGCTGCTTCGTTGCCCTGGATGCCGACGTGGCTGGCACCCACCGGAGCTCGACTTTGAGTCCCTGCTCTCGGAGGCTTGTGTCTTTTCTGCGATGGTCTTGAGAAGGTATGCGCCGGACTCCCTTTGGTTCGGCTGACGATCTAATGGCGGCCTGGTTGTCGGTGTGTATGAAGACTTTGCTTCGGTGGTTTCCCTTTTCCTTGTCTCCTGCGCCATCTCGAGGCAGAACGATGCCCTGCAGCTCTCCCGCGTAGACTGTCGATGTCGTGTCGTCCCCATGTGAGATTTCCTAGTTTTCTGTGTGGTTGTGCAGACTGCTGCCGCCCCGATCTGACCGTCGATGCCCTGCCGTCAGTATAAATGTGTACTGCGTTGGTGTTCTATTCCAGACATTGTTTATGTTCTTTTTCAGCCTGCTTCGTGCTTTTGGCGATGTGGATGCGCGGTCCTTGTTACCACGGGCGTGACGAAGGGCGGTATGTGCTTATGTTGTTCGCTAATTGCGTTTTGTCTATCGTTTAGTCGATTTCTTACTGTTTATCTCGGGCTTATTTTCTTTCCTTTGCGTGCGGTGACTTTGGCTATGCCTACTCAGCTGATGGTGTCGATTTTGTGTTTCTATATCTGTTGTTCGATTGGCACGAGATGTATCTCTATATTTAGTGCTGGAAATGACGTTGCTCTGTATGCTCCGCATATTGCCCTAGCTGTTCTGGCTTGGAGCCTCTGCAGTCTATGTAATGTTCTCTTCGTCTAGCCCATCTCTTCCCATCCGTTGTTGGACCACAGCCAGCATGCGTACATCTGTGGTATTGCGACTCCCTTGTAAATCGTCCTCATCTCTCTCGTCATCACGCCCCACGTGGAGCTGAGCAGCACTACTTGACTTCACGCCCTCCGCAGTCAGAGAACGCATCGCATGAGAATATTCTCGCAACCTTCGAAGAATTTTCCGTACCCGACGCACCGTTGACCGGCCTTGTCCTTAAGCGCGTTTTCGAGGTTGGCAAAGAGACTATTTCGATTCAATTTGAGAAGGCGAGTATTTGCCATCGATGCCGAAACCCACTAGAGGTTCTCCAGCCTTCGAGTCCTTCGTTGCCTGAAGCGGGCCTTTCACGGTCACCGGGGAGGCGTAAACCGCGCTTCTCAGAAGCCGAAGATCGACTTTTGCGCCACTTGAAAGAGGAAAAAAACCTTTCGTGGAAGGCTATATACCGCGAGTTTTCTCGCCGATTCCAGGGTCGAAGTATGCAAACATTCCGAGTTCATTACAGTAAGAAGCTAAAGCATTGAATTGAATCTGGGTTTTGCCTCTTCATCATTCTTCAAGGTGTTCTAAAACTCTTGTGATGTCTGCCCGCTGTGATTCGTGAACGTCATTATAGGCAGTAGATGGCGTGCACCTTATCCAAAGTAGTTCACGATTGAGCTGAACCTCTCCAAGAAGAATAGTCGTCTACATTTTCCAGCCAGTGTTGAGACCAAATGAGTGTGCCATCAAATAAGCTTGCGATAGCGTTAAGATACGAAAGAATCGACAAGGATACTAAGACGCACCGCCTGCCGTAACTGGAATGCCCATGTTTGTTTTCGACAGCAACGCCGTCTGACCGCCTACGGGATCTTGCGCTTGCGAAAAGACAATTCACAGCTTGTCTCACCGCCTGCTCAAATAGTATCCGCTTCATCACCCAGTACTTCTCTTTGGGCTTGCTCACCGCCTGCTGATTAGAGCGGTGAACGCCAGGGATCTTTTACACCGCTTGCCAACTTTGCAGCGTCGCCATGAGCTTCACTCCACCATAGTACCTAACGGCTTTGCTATCATGCCAAGAGGCTCGACCGCCAATACCAAACCTTGTTTCATCCATGTACATGTGCTGCTCAGTCCACCATCGTCTACCAAGGTCGACGAAAAGCTAGAGTGAACAGTTTCTGGGTTACTACTATGGACAGGCAGAACAAAGTACTTTACGGGGTTCGAAGACTACAGGGTTGCCCAAACACCTTTTAAGGGCGGGGCACTACTTACATTTGCTGCGCAGTACACCGTCTACTGGAAATATAGTAGCGGCTGCTCTTCATCATCCTATCGAGTGCTGCAAGGCGACAGTACATTGGTCTCCAGCTTTTTTTCCAAGTCTGCCAAATTCGCGGATATGTTGGAAATAATCCGGAATAATGCCTGATTAGCTAGTGCCCCACACTCGTATGTACCGTCGCCTTACAGCACTCAATGGAAAACTTGACAGCCACGCGGCTAACTCTATGAGTCTATGCGTCTGCTGCTATACTATTCCGTCCGACGACGCGAGCTCTAGCCTTGCTTGGATTCACTCACTCATCCTCTTTCACGGAGCATCCTTAGACGGCAGCCAAGGCTTACACTCCGCTTTTGGAACTATAATATGGGAGATCTTTCGCTCGTTCGGTGGTCCAATGCCTAGTGCGAGGAAATGCGCGAGATGTGCTAGCAGATCTGCCGCCGTCAGGTTATCCAGTCGAGACACTGCGAGCAAGTCGAGGGATGGGGCGCCGGCGCCGTAAATGTACTCCCTCGTATAGCGTAGAAGCCTGGCGAGACAAGTGACCGAGAAGAGGCAACAGGGAAGCACGCGCTCAACCCGTTTGGTCACCGTTATAGGAGAACCCATTGCTGAGCACTATACAGTATGTCCCAGCTTATACAAAGAGAAAGAAGGTAGCATCGCAGAGACCTAGGCGTCCGGGGTATCCTCTTACGTACATACCGTAGTAAGCAACCTCTTATAGAATTATGTTTAACACTATCATCCTTAGGTCATCTATAAATGATATTCATTCCCATATATACTTCGTAACTATCTGCAGCCTGCAGGTCCGATTTAGTACTACCAGATGGGTAAGAAGAGGACATAACGCCGAACTTTCAAACCCTCACCCCCTTGCGTGCCCACTGGTGGATGTGGGAGCCACGAAAGCCTAGGATGGGTAGCTGTGTGATTTGTTGTGGTAACGATCCTGCATAGGCATCGAACTCCATGCATCTAGCGCATCAGGTAAGGAGCTAATTTATATCTACAACAGGATAGCTAGCCAGGAAACGAAACTTTCCGGACCTCTGAGACCTTAAGTCGCTAAGGATAATAAGTTGCGGTACGTAAAAACCAAGTCATACTGTTGGTGTTCCTATCACAGGGTAGCTGGTTCGAATCGTGGTTCGAGGAGAGGTCATTTGAACTATATAAACTTTTGCGCAAGGTGTAAAAAGCAGGTTCCAACCGTAGGGTGGGCAGGCCGCGATTCATATAAGTATGGTTTGTAAGTGGCTCTGCCCGGGCCCCTGCCTTGAGGTCGAATTGCATCCCAATCCTACACATACGTAAGATGAACTACATCTCGTTAACAAGCTCATTGGCAATTCGCAAGATTGTAGATAGAGGGAGGGGAGAGGGTTCACCTTAAGCGCACCTTCACCTGTAAGACTGTGATAAACTGCCCATAGTATAGGGAATGGAGGTGTCGCATTTACGCTTTCTATTCTTTTAGCCAACGAATCTCAGTAGCCTTGAGGGATTGTTCCCTCGACAGGCACCAACGACTAGCCGAAAACGAACATGGCAATACCGTACAGATGCTCCATAAAGGCACAGCTCGGGCTGGTCAACACTGCACCAAACCAACTCACTGCGTGCTATGGACGGTTCATGCGAGATTGCAAATATTGCTAACTTTCAATCCCTCAGATTGGACGAATAAGTGAATTGTACATTATCCAACATGCCCAGAATCCTCCACTATCTTACCGTCCCCCGAGAAGTACCCCATCGTCTTAATATCTATTCGTTGACTTCACTACTGAGTCGCTGCCCTTTAGAGCCTTCCTCGTCCGTCTGCGCTTGTTCGGCACAAGTTGCGCGAGTGGGGGGCGACCTGGCTTCACAGACTGCGCCCTTTCGAAGTCGATCAGCATGATGCCCTTGACCTCCTTACTGAATAGCATATTTTCCCTCTTCGCGTCATGGTGCTCAACACCCAGAGCACGGATTTCGTTCAATGACCGCGTTTTCATGGCTTCTAGGTCTTCAACTCCACAGTCCGTGCGCTTCATCTCGTAGAGATCCTGTCCTCCCCACGACAGAAATGACATGTGCACTATATAAACTCGGTGGTCATAGAAATAAGTTCTGTTGATCGTTCGAAGGTCGATAGATCCGAGGAATACCGGTACGTATACGCCCTGAATAACTCGTAGACGCTTGTAAAACGCTGCCTCGCGCTAAAGGTCCTCAATAAATGCCTCTACTGTACCCTTGCTGACAAAGGTGTAGCCATACGCAAGCAAGCTCACTTTGAACAAGACTCCACGAGCACCGCTCTGTCGTAAGGACACGATACCATAATCCAAGGACCGCTCGAGCTGTTCTTGGAGAAGCCTTAGAAATTCAGTCCGGTCGATTGGATGCTGAGCATTTGCACGTTGTCGACCAAGGCAGTGGCCGCGGTCATTGGCAGGCTTCCTGCAGTGGAGCAACTTGTTCGGGCACGCGGAGTCGGTCACACCGCCTCCGACAAGGCCTAACAAGCACTTTTGGGTGCAGTATGGCGTGTGTTTGAAGTGGCTCTCTCCTCCGTCTTCATCGCCTCGCGGCCGACGCGCCAGGACTCGCTTACTGCGTCGCTTCGCCTGACTGCCTTGACCCGCCTGGCTTTGAGAGTCCTTTCCGCGTGCTCGCCGTTCCGTAGGAGTGGGTGTGTCTGGCACGTCGCGCCTCGGCTCCTCATCGGAAGATTCGTTCGGGTCCCTTCTCATTTGCTCCGTCGTACGCCCGTCCCTCATAAGTCCTCGCCTCTTCCCTCGGAGCAAATAGGGAGATCTGTCGACGTTCTTGTACGCCTTTGGTTCGTAGCCTGGCGAGCTGTCTGGTGGATGCCTTTCTTCGTCAGGGATTGATCGCAGCGTCGTCTCGAAGTCCTCCCCCCACATCTTTAACTTGTTGATGGCTCGATGCCGCTCCTCCTGGCTATGCAGCCGTCTCTCGCTTGGCATGCTAAGGGCTATTAGACTGAAGGCTAAGTATTGAGTAACTGCCGTATAGAGGTGGGCGTGCTTGGGGTGGGCTTCTACCTCTGCAGAGGGCTCTGCTAGATAGTATAATAACGTCCCGGGCTCGCGCTAGTCGATTTTTAGGAACACGATTGCCTCACCCGTTGTTAATAGGCCGTGCTTGAGTCCGCTTTTGATTATGTAGTAATAGGTCTGTGTGATTGCGGTTATAGTGAGTCTCTCTGCGTAATACTGGAATCGCGCGTTTAGGTCGACCGATGTTGGGATCGTTTTACGATTAATTATTTCCTGATGTATATTTATCGAGCGCAGACCGAGGCGGAGATGTGGTGTAGTAAGTTTATGCGGTGGTTTATATTCGGAAACGTAAAGCATCGATCGGGTGCTTGAGTCGCCGTCGACGTCTTCGGTTCGATAGACGCAGATTTGATCGGCCCGTAGCTGTTGGAGGTCGACTTTATGATCGTGCGGTGTGGAGGGGGGCGTCGATGGGAGGTTGCGTTCCACGACCTCCGGAGCTACGTCGCTGAGCGCATGCGGGTGGTTCTCGAAGACGATTCCATTGCCTAGATCGAACACAGTCTTGACTGCTTCTACCTTTCTGAGCTCGTCCAAAATTGCTCTAACGGGGTCCTCGACGCTATTGTGCAGAAAGTACTCGAGGGCCTTCTCGTCAGTGATCTTGCGCTTCGCGATCCTACTTCCTAGCCCGGAAAGAAACGACGGGGTCTCGAAACAGCGTCTATCGGCAGGGAAAGTATCGTAAAGGGTGCCGAAGACGATGCTCTGTTGGTGCAGGAAGTCGGACCATGGCCGTAGAATGGTGGGACACAACTTGTTACGCGGATTTGTGATGGAGCCCCTGGAAGTCAGTCTGCGGTCCGTCTCGACTGTAAAGTTGGCGAAAACGAGGGAATGGCAGGCAGCGATGTATTCATCGAGTGACGTATGCTGGGTTTGCTGTTCTGCAGTGTCGGCGCGTTCTCGTTCTCTGTCAGCGCGTTCTCTTTCTTGTTGTCGCTCTCTTTCTGCCGCCACGGCGCGTTCTCGTTCTTTCTCAGCTCGTTATTCTGCTAGTTGCAGACGCTTGGCCAGCTCCTCAGCGTCTGTTGTCCTACTCATGATATCTGTGGTGGATGTGGTTGATAAGGCGAAGGTTCGAGGATTGTGTTCAGTGAACTACGGTACTAAAGAAATCCGATCAGCCAATAGGATGCATCTTACTGTGTCGCTGGGCAACTGATTTGATAGAAAGCGTCGACTTGCGTGCGCCCCGCAGGAAAGACCGTGTGGAGTTCTGTTGACGCACAAGCCACATTCCCCGTCGATCCTACTTGACTACAGCATGGTCTTTTAGCCTTCTTAGATCCGTCAGCTCCTCGCTGGTATGGAATGAATCAAGGTGTTTCTTCGGATTGGGCTACATGGTCTCTGAGGACCCTGAAATCACTATCATTCACTTCATAGAGACTCCGCTGGGGCAATTATGCTAGTCAATGGCCAGTATGTCTCGACTAATGACAGAGGGGAGGGTGGCCCGTCTTGCCAGCGGTTTTGGTGAGGATTCCCCCTGCATAGAGCTTGCCAGTGAGCGGACCGGGTCAACATCGATGCCTCGGAATCAACCTTGAAGCGGTAGGAGACCAACAAAACATGTCATTCGATGTACAACTAAAGACAACTTTGATGATCGAAGGCGCGAACGGTTTCCGACTATGTAAGTGGTTGAAGAGAACGGCAAACGGTCTGGTCGGCGTCAGGTGACATAAGGAGAGCGGAACACCAAAAGTACGCATCGGGTAGGGCGATGGATTACTCCATAGCTGTATGTAGCAATATGGGCTTTATTGTAAGTACATTCCTCCGCCGGACAGCTACATTGTCGCACTCAACCGCTGCTTACGCTAGATTGACCTTCAACGACGCTTCGAGATCTTCTTTCCGTGTAGTCTAGCGGCGATCTTGCTACCGGGACAGGGTAAGTCGCTTTCTTCCAAATCTTAGCCCAGGGGGTAGCCTTGGAGGATCATAGGTTGATTGAACATACCAACTCAGCTCTGGACCTGGGGAACTCGGGCTTTTCGGAAGACGTGTACTCATAGAGCCTGCTTTTGAAGCGGACTTGGACGTACACGTCGGCTCCATATCGTCGTCGTATCTGCTCACAACGCCACATGATATTTTTGACCGCTTTGTCGCAGTTCTCGTTGGTTCTGTCCCTTTTCTTTGGTGGCTGCTGACGAAAAGTCATGATGATCTGTTGGATAATACAGACTGCGACAAGCACCGGCCAAAGTCTATGCACGCGAGTGAAGCAGCGACTCTATCGTGCTGCGGCAGTAAGATTGAGGTTTCCGGTACAGTTTGTACAGTACAGTACTGTACTGCATACATAGTACTATACAATACCATAAAATGACAAGTAAGTTGTCGTTTTGCTCTTTCCAATGCATCCCTTTTCAAACAAACACATCACACGAACGTATGAGGCATAGGCGGCAGTGGAGTCGCCTTTGAGCCTATTCTGCGGTCGTTGGTTTCCTGGGCTTTTGTCACAGCTATCTCGCGAGCGCAGCCAGATTGGCGTTCATTCCATCTGCCTATGGGAAATTTGGACGCGGGCAAGCCTGACTGTCGAGTCCCGAAAGCTATTCGAGAGGTTGACCTCGAAGCCAAAACCGTGGGCTCAGGACAAGAGGCACGTACCAGACAGGGGTCAGCGCTTTGTTGATGAACGGGGAGGCATACGGCTCTTGGCTTTAGAAACATCGAGCGTGTGAGCAGAAGAGGGAGCAACACATGCTCACAACTTTATGCGGCTGCTGATATTGCTAACTAGATTCATATCTGTCCGCTCATGCTATATACGCAGAAGACTGCCTCGGCATGCCTGCTCACGCAAAGATGTCGCCTAAGTAAAGCTGCTTGCGCAGGATTCCGCTCAAGCAGAGCCGCCCACGCGTAAAATGTCTCAAGCAGAGTCGCTTGCGCAGGAATGTGCTTAAGCACACAACCGCTTAGGCAGCAATCCGCGCAAGCAAAGCCGCACAAGCAAAGCCGCACAAGCAAAGCCGCACAAGCAAAGCCGCACAAGCGGGAGTCTGCTTGAGCAGGTTCCCTACGAGAGTGGCCTGACCTGCATGGAGGAACCCATGTCCCACCTGCTGTTGCTAGGGTTCATCAGCACTTCTTCTCGAAACAGTGTTCACTGTGCAGCGGCAGTTGTAGATCACATCCACCAACTGTCCTCGATCGATGCAGCAGTCAGGAAGTGAGCTGGCCAAGTGAGAGACACTCAATGTATTGCTTTGTGCTAACTTCTTTCCTGCCATCCGAGATATTCATAATCCTGCCAAGTCCATGTTAGGCAGGGTTCCAGCGCGCCCAGAGTGAAATTAGAAGCGCTGGTTGATCTTCCTATTAGCTGATTATGACTGCGTTCGCTCGTTAGTTCATCTTGCAAGCACTCACGTTATCGGTGCTGTCCTTGATTACAGCTACGTAGCATGTGGACTTTGAGCTTCCTCTCTGCGCTGATCACCCTCTGGGTGGTAGACTAGGAGTACCTATGTATGGTGGGCGATAGGGGGCACTGTTGCAAAACCCCCTTGCCATTTCGTTTTGGGTTTAGATCATACTTATCCTAGTCGTCCGGTACTTAGAGATGCAATAAAAGATGTACTGCGGGATAGTAGCGGGATCGCACGGGGCGGGTTACTAGCAAACTCTTTGCGATATACCTTAACTAAAATGATGGGCTAGGTAGGTACTATTACTATATAAATGCTAACTACTAATTGACCAGAGTACGCTCCTAACAGTATAGATCACGACCTAAAATCCCCTTGGTTTATCTCTCTCATAATAGTAGATCCTTTCTCACAACAACGGAAATAATTCTTCCATCATAGTATTCTTGAGAGACATGGTTCGAATCATCAGTGCACGGTGAGGCGTGGCTTAGTGAGTGGCCTGCCGCAGTAATACGCTACGGATCCGCAGCGAATTCGCAACGCCGCAATCAAGGCGGGTGGCCTGTTGACTTAATCCGCCACGGGCAAGCTTACAGCGAAGATCACCGTATGTTCAGGAGATCAACTTTCGAACTCAGGACTGTTAACCTACCATCCGACAGAAGAAAAACAAGTCGGAAAAAAACTCCGCCTCGTGACTCACCACGCAGTTTCCCGTGCCGGAAATACTTCACACGCGCCACCAAGGCCCCCGGCCATGAGTATGCCTCTCAAAATCAATGTAGACTCTGTCTGGCCATGCGCGAAGGTTGTCACGATGGTTTTAATGGCGTAGACACGGGTGCTGCATGCCGGGACTGCGCAAAGACCGGCCACACATGCCTATCCAAAGCCCAGCCCTCGTGAGGGCACGTAGGGATGATTTCAGTATATTTAATCAAAGCTGAAGTGGACAGAACTTTGAGCGGGGCTTCCGCGGGGGGAGAACGCTCATGTGGTCCTCCGCGGAATCGGCGCGGTGAGTCGTGGCAGAATCCGGGCTTTCAGCCCGGATCCACTAATCGGGTCTAGCCTGTAACATCTCCTGCTATGTCACTTCTAGTGGCCTCTATGGCAGGCTATAGAGGTCACTGTTGCAAAACCCCAAATTCTTTGCAAAAATTCTGAATTAGGTTAGGGTGCTGATCGACCAGCCCCGCAGTACATCAACCTTTGTACCTCAGCTTGGTTTTCGCGACGAGGACAATACCTTTTTGACAGAAGCGAGTCCGCTGCGAACCAGCAAATCGTAATCCAATTCAGTACGAAAGCCGAGAACATAGCAATAGGAGGCAGGTAATGCATCAGGAACCGACTTTACTCAATTATCCTCATCATCTTGTTTCCCCTCTTCGTCGTCATCTTCCTCTGCCTTTTTAAGTTGCTACTACTATATCAACGTTCCTATTCGCATTTCTGAACTATCCAGACTTACGGCGCAGAGCCGAACAGCCAAGGAGATAATTTCTAAAGCTATCGTTCTTCTCTCCTCAAGGCTCTGCTCAGCAATTTCACCGAAAGAAGCCGGAGAGGCCACTGGAAGTGACATAGCAGGAGATGTTACAGGCTAGACCCGATTAGTGGATCCGGGCTGAAAGCCCGGATTCTGCCACGACTCACCGCGCCGATTCCGCGGAGGACCACATGAGCGTTCTCCCCCCGCGGAAGCCCCGCTCAAAGTTCTGTCCACTTCAGCTTTGATTAAATATACTGAAATCATCCCTACGTGCCCTCACGAGGGCTGGGCTTTGGATAGGCATGTGTGGCCGGTCTTTGCGCAGTCCCGGCATGCAGCACCCGTGTCTACGCCATTAAAACCATCGTGACAACCTTCGCGCATGGCCAGACAGAGTCTACATTGATTTTGAGAGGCATACTCATGGCCGGGGGCCTTGGTGGCGCGTGTGAAGTATTTCCGGCACGGGAAACTGCGTGGTGAGTCACGAGGCGGAGTTTTTTTCCGACTTGTTTTTCTTCTGTCGGATGGTAGGTTAACAGTCCTGAGTTCGAAAGTTGATCTCCTGAACATACGGTGATCTTCGCTGTAAGCTTGCCCGTGGCGGATTAAGTCAACAGGCCACCCGCCTTGATTGCGGCGTTGCGAATTCGCTGCGGATCCGTAGCGTATTACTGCGGCAGGCCACTCACCAAGCCACGCCTCACCGTGCACTGATGATTCGAACCATGTCTCTCAAGAATACTATGATGGAAGAATTATTTCCGTTGTTGTGAGAAAGGATCTACTATTATGAGAGAGATAAACCAAGGGGATTTTAGGTCGTGATCTATACTGTTAGGAGCGTGCTCTGGTCAATTGGTAGTTAGCATTCATGTGGCAATGGCACCTACCTAGCCCATCATTTCTGTTGAGGTATATCGCATGGGGTTTGCTGGTGACCCGCCCCGTGCGATCCCGCTGCTATCCCGCAGTACATCTTTCACTGCATCTCTAAGTACCGGACGACTAGGATGAGTATGATCTAAACCCAAAACGAAATGGCAAGGGGGTTTTGCAACAGTGCCCCCTATCGCCCACCGTACCTATCCCAGTGCACTCGTTACAATGATCGTCACACTATGCCTAGGGGGACCCTATGGTCTTACACAAGCATGACTAAGTTTGCCAAGAATTTGCCGATATAGGGGGTCTTCATTGCACTACAAAGATAGTCGGGATACAGTATTCCGATAGCCACTCATTCCTCATTTTCATCAATACGTTCATTCCATTGACCCCCACCTACCAATCGTGTCCCGACACCATTTTCTCCCCATCCGAAGTGCCAGTTTGGTGATACCATCGGGAACCGGGGCTTTCAGCGACATCAGCCAACCTGACAAATCAAGCTAATCAAGTGTTATTGCAAAAGAACAGCGACATGCGCAGCTGAGTGCATCTCTAGTCCGGAAACATTGCGCAAAGAGCATAGAACTTATCAGCATGGCGCTTACGAGGAGTTGCATTAGGGCTTTGCAATACGCGTAGTGTAAGGTGGGGTGCAGTGGAAGGGCAACAGGCAAGAGAGGAACAACTGCAGGCGATTAAACATGCCACAGGGCAATGGCTGAGACAATGATTTATTCCGAGTAGTCGGTGAGGAGATCAGCATGTCCGACTGGATAGTAGGTCTGGCTAAGGGTTTGTCGTGAAAAAGGTAAGACAAAGGCTGCTTGGGGGGTCAAGCCTCTTGGCTCAAAAGTGAAGGGGGCGTGGGTGGCCAGAGCAAAGCTCCTGAGGACACTGCGCAATTCGGTAAGTGGTGTAGAAAGCCCCTTACGGGTACCCGCTCGATCCGTAGGCGGTGGACAAGCGCCAACCGTAGCACTGGGGTGTGAGACTGGTGCTTCGCGTGAACCAGTCTGCGACTCGGGTGTTTGATCTTGTGAGCAAGCGGTGAGATTTCCCGTGGAGTCGCCACTTGGACGGTGCGGATCCAGGAAGGCGGTGTCATGCTGAGTGCAGGGTTCCACGGTGAGTCGTAACGGTGGGGATGCTGAGCGTCTAGATAGGAAGGTGGTGTGACTGACGGGGTCTCGGATCAAGCACGGACATTCCATTCAGTCAGGCAGGCGGTATGGAGCCCGGCACATCAAGGGCCATTTTAGGCAGGCGGTGAACTTGATTACTCACTTCCCTGTATTCGGCCTCGGCATCACCTCAAGAGATGAAGCTTATTCAACGAGCAAATGCTGAAAGCAGAGTCGAAGAAGGCCGGGGACACATGTACTGCCATGCGGTACCCAATGAGAAACGCTTTGTCCTGAACGCGAGGCCCTTAGTAGATCTGCCAGTAATGAAATTCCAGGCCTCCTGAAGGCTCATATCTGGAAGTGTGTAGAGGTGTTGTCGTAATGCACGACGTATACTAGACGCCAAGCACATCTTTATCAGAGCGATGAGCTCGATGTGCAAGTCACGTGATCTATGGCAAAGATCTCTGTGCAAACAGACAAATCCCAATGTCTCTTAGTATGAACTCAAATCATTTCTCGAAAGTCTCGAGTCCTACATTTTCGACCCGTTACGATCGAAGCCCTCATGTTTGGTATCTCATAAGTATACTATTGTACCAATGATACTTTATGTATTGTTCTCACAGCAGTCGTCGGCTTTTCGTAGTCCATATGTATACGGGAGACTGCACATGTTCGCTGAGGACCTAGAACAGTCTTGACGCTAACATCCGCTACAGGCCCATGTTTCCCGGCCCAGCTCAAGCAGTGAACAGCTATTGCGATTTCGGCCAAGGTCAAAGATGTAAGACAGTCAGGAGCACTTTGGTACAAGATCAACGATAGAATCGAATCGAGTCCTGAGCACGCACCGTCGAGCGGGACAGTACAGCAGCAAGCGCATTGACTGATGTCGGCCATATGCGAGGCAGTAGAGGCGTTGACACCCATAGACAAGCCCCCACGAGATGCTAAGAGATGATGGACGGTCGATCTCACCCAGCTACGGCAGATTCGCACTGGCTGGAAGAATCGAGCGTGGGGAAGAGAAGGCCTAGCACCAGTCAACCGGACCCTAGAAGAACGCACGTTGTAGTATCACGTGGCCAGGATTTTCAGCATTGCAAGTCGAAGTACCCTAGCTCAAATGGTCGACTGTGTGTCCGGTAAATAGTTAGCAGAGGTTTAAGCTTCGGCTGAAACCATAGTATGCTGCGCCCGACTGCTGTAGGTAGTTAAGTCAAAATGCGAATTAAACAAGATCAGCCAACTTGACGACTTACAGTAAGCTAACCAAGTGTGTGGCGGAAGAGCAGCGACTTGTGCAGCTGAGTGCATCTCTTGTCTAGAAACTTTACAGAAAGAGTACAGAACCTACTGGCATGGCGCTCCCAAGTGGTTGCATGGGGCTTCACAATACGCGTAGTGTAAGGTGGGTTGCAGTAGAATGGCAGCGGGCGAGAGAGGGACTGTTGCATTGTTGCGAGTTATTGAGAGATTACTAGCAGACGGTCAGCTGTGCCACAGAGTGTGACTGAGAAGATGTTTTAGTTCGAGTAAGCGCTGAACAGGTTAGCCCGTCTGACCAGGAGATGAGGTTTGTAATGTAGGTTAAACATAGGCTGCTCAGGGAAGGCGGCGTGGTTGGCCAGAGCAAAGCTATGGGATGCCACCTGGTCAGTAGGCGGTGAACGAGTTCGACGCAAAGCCCTGGGCGGTGAAGCTGGTAGAACTCAAGTCGGCGATGTTTTGGGCAAGCGGTGGAGCAGGCGGTGAAAATCTCACCTAGAGGATGCAGTATCAGGAAGGCGGTGTTATCATGCAGTCCGGGCTTTATGTGGGGGTTCACCCTCTCTATTGAACTTTGTGGTAAAAAGCTCGAGCATTCTATGCTGCTTTGAGCAGGCGGTGTGATAGAGTGCATCACTTGGCCATCTTGGGCAGGCGGTGATCACGAACAGCCTTCCCCCTGACCCCGTACTTGGCATCGAATCGTTATCAGGCGATAAAGCAGCACAGACGCTCCACTGAAATCGGCTCAAGCGCAGTGAAAAAGAACGGGATACCCTCGCGTTTCCAAAACCAATCGGGCCAGGGTTGCCCAAACACCTGTTAAGGGCTGGACACTGCTTACCTTTGATCTACTGCAAGCCAGCAAACTACCGCAAGGGAAATAGCCGCCCTTATTTTGAATCATTGTGCCACTGCTGACTAGAATGAAGATTTGTCACGCAGCCTCATGAAAGCCACTCACGAGTCTCTGATTGCACACACCACTAATGATGCGAATTCTCGATCATCTTTTATGTAATACGATGTCTATGCGACTTCACGAGGACTTCAGAAACCACGATACACTGGAATGTGGCACAGAAGTGGCTCAGGCAATGTAAGCCTGGAATGCCGGACTGCCTCTGGTGGGGCTTGGCAACGACGAAAGGGGTTCGTTCACCCATTGCCATTCGATGCCAAGGTCGTTACATGATCGTTACATGATCACTGATGTGAGATCGAGAATGAAGCTGGCCAAAGGAGTAATGGAGGAACTTGTTGACATCTGCGATGACATGATCTGCACTCTGCTCATCTGATGCGTTCCTCGACCCTGGAGGGCTTACACTGCCAATCTCCATCCTGTGCTTTCCAATCCGCATTGACCTCCTTTTGGATTTTGGTGTTTTGGGTAATCCGAAAAATCTTTCGAAGGCTTGTTTTCCTGGCGAATTCCGCGTGGAAGCAAGCCTCGTGTTGCTTGGGAGCTGACCGAGCCAGTTTAAGGGAGTGCTTCTCCTCCCAGATAGTCTGTCTCCATCCAAAAACATATAGAAGCTCTCAACAGCGATATTTCCCGGTTCAGAGTCAAACTCTATAGAGCAGCTAGCAGGAATCCGGCCCCTGCGAGACCGGCGGAGGGCTGGAGTTGGAGGAGATGGGGATGGAAAAGCTGAGGTTGAAGGGCCTGGAGATGGAGGGGCTGTCAGGGAGATGAAGACTCATTATCAGAAGCGACGACCTCTCGAGGCGCAGTCGATGATACGCTACTGGTCGAGAAGCGTTGAGCAATGGACTACCGCTTTAGCTTCGTGCCTTGAATCGCCCAGATGTTGGCTGACGCTAGGGACTGCTGATGGCCTAGGGAGATTTCGTCCAGGATTCGACCGATGCCAGTAGGCGTAACGCTGTATCGGCTCTCTCGAGACGTCACAGACGATGACAATACCGGAGAAAGCAGGTCGTGTTCAGTCGACTGCATCATGAAGTCAGACAATCTACACAGTCATGACAACGTCGGAGCCCTCTTGGGTTTGCTCGTTGCTAGCTGACGGCGGTCGAAAAGATGTCATCCGAGCTGGAATGGTGTCTCCCAGCGAAGTTCTTGGCAAAATGATTTGTTATTTTTGCCTGAGGGCGAGATGTTGTCTCCGCTGTTGTCCTCGGCGTATATGCAACGTCATCAACGATCGGCTGGGAACTTCCATGCGCTTGCCCAACTCCACTCGAGAGGCACATCAACTGACTCTGTTACAAAGAGGATACAGGACGAGCTGTCTAAGGATTACGGCATCTGGCATACAACATTCTTTGAATTAGGAGGAAGTGGGCAATAATCGTTGAGCCCCTTCACTCAGCCATTGCGGCTGCCAACAAATCCACTGGTTTCACATGGCTGCTGGGCATACTCTGTGTCGTCGTACGCCATCTATGTGAGATGAAATGGACCAGTCGCTTTGTCTGCCACTCACTGAAATCTAGTTGAGAGAGAGCTCAGGAAGAGAGTCTTTGAGCGGCGCTCAGTAACCTGACGTTGTAAACAGATCTCTGCGAACAGGCTGGCAAGTACACCGAGTTTGCCAGCAGTACTTAATTATCCTAGTATACCGTGCTTACTCTTGGATAGGTAAATAGTCTTTCGCTCCTCATAAATCTTCTGTGACCTTCGTCGCCGACCTGTCGCTTCTTTACGCAAGTCTTTGCAGCTGAACGGGCAAGTGTCTCCCATGGCGTAGCTAGGATGTCAAATCTGCCGTCTTACCACAGCTGCTTTGGAGACTGCAAAGGGATGCTGGCGGTCGAAGCCCCTGAAATACATTCTGCACGACCGCATAGCAGAGCCTTGTTTACGGCTGATACGGAACAAGGCTAGATCGTCCAAGCATGTCTCCCAAAGATTGATACCGCACCTAATCTATCAAAAGGATGGCACGTATGAGTCTGGCAGACACTCCGAAATGGCGGCACTCTATACTCATACTGAAGCTTGGGCAACAAAATTGAAAAAAGTTAAGAAAAGAAAACCGAACATAAGGGTGAAGGCACCTCTATGAATGATTGATGAAGTCGTCCCCACCACTCTAGGCCGCTCAACTTAGGGTGATGTAGAAAGCAAGAAGCAAGTTCTCCATCATATCACGATCTGTTGGTTTGATAAAGTAATTAAGCTTGAGGGATGGAGCCATGTCCTTGCGGGCATGCACGAGTGACCTGGAATGGTGGCATCACCTCTAATGACTACGGTTGTGTCAGATCTTCCGCGTCCTGGTGATATCTGCCAGAATAATAAGTGTGCGCAGATATTTCCAGCTCTTATCATGACATCTACCTCCTTCTGCAGCGATTGGGATTGACTCGATCCAAGGTCAATCCTAGATTTTGCAACTATGTGATCGGTTAGGCCGAGGCCATTGGCAGAGTTCGTCGACAGTTCTGTAGCCGAAACATACCCAAGTTGGTAAGGCGCAAGTAACATGGTTTGGTCTCGATCAGCTAAAATTCCTTGCTGAATCACTGTTGAAATCCCATACAGAGTCGTCAAGCAATAGAATACATCATGGCCTGAATCGGTTCTACGTCCAGGGATTTTGTACCGCCATGTCATCTGGCAAGATTGTCGAGCCATGCAATCGTTGCAGTCTCAACGGCAAAGTCGCTGCCAAATCGACCCCAGCATATTCGATTCTGCGACTGCAAGTACATCTCCTCTTTGGTCGTTTGAGCTTTGCATCGGCCCGAAATTGCGTCCTTCTGGGAGGCCTCCTACCCGGTCCGTCCAGGATACACAGCCAGCACAAACATTCAAAACACACATCCAGCACAAACATCCGGCACATACACTCAGAACACACACCAGCACAAACATCCGGCACAAACATCCGGCACAAAATCCACATACACTCAGAACACACACCCAGCACAAAAAAAAAACATCCAGCACAAACATCCGGCACAAACATCCGGCACATACACTCAGAACACACTCAGCACAAACACCAGCACAAACACCCACAAACATCCGCACAAAATGCACAAACATCCGCACAACATCCGGCACAAACATCCGGCACAACATCCGCACAACATCCGGCACACATCCGGCACAAACATCCGGCACATACATCAGAAAAAACACAAACACCAAGAAAACATCCAACAAACATCCGGCACAAACATCCAGGACACACATCCAGAACACAGAACATTCCATTGGACTGCGTGCCAAGGTGTTGTGAGGTACAGCACGAGTCGTGACGAAGTCATATTTTCTTATCTTGCGGCGACGTATCGCTGACGCAGCACAATAAATATTTCTTTCTACTGCCACACGTTACGTCTTGCGTCTTAACCTGACCCTAGGGGTCATTGAGAACCATATGCTGTAATTCGAACCTGCTCTAGAGATATAAATCTCATAGATCCACATCCAGAGTGCACGTCTGGGATATCATTTTGGTCAGATGTTTTAGGCATAGATCACATAGCAGATTGTATTGTGGATGTAGATTTGGACGAACGGCTGAAACTGTGCAATAGCGCTCGATGCAATTGAATCATAGTACAAAGGGGCAAAACGAAAAATTGATCAGGCAAGCTACAATACTACCATCCTATGTTTCTCATGTCCACATGACTGCTGTCTACCAAAAAAATGCAATCACTCCCTTTCTGAATGATTTCGTTGTAACATTCGTCAACCAGAAGTGGGTACTTTTTGGGTGAGAATGGGATGGTTCGAGAATGTGACAGCATCAAACCCCGCACGAAACTTTCAACTCGAGCCTTATTTCCTTGAACAGTCGTGTCAAAAACCAAATGTTCTTCCTTCTGCAATATTCCCTCCTTCATGATCTTGAAAGTGACTCGGCGTTGATTCTCTTCATGATCCGCCACGGCATCTGTGCTCTCTGCTGCTGTTGTCTGAGTTCGTGACTCCCTTGAATCCTGCTGCCGATCGTCCATGTTGTCTTCATGACTGTCCAGAAGCGTAGTAGCGATTGCTTCTACTTCGTCATAGCTTCGATGATGAGACACCGCGGACAGCATCGAGTCCGCGTCCGAAGTAAAAGACAGCTTGCGGAAAAAAGCCACATAGATAGTTCTAAGCAGAAACACGCTAGTTATTGACTTTCCTTTCAAAACCGGTTGCTGATTCATGATGTCGAGAAAGAGAAACTCCTTGTTTCTCTCATAAGCCTCTCGAGTGGACCATGGACGCACGTTGAGTTTAGGTCCTTTGTCGCTAGTGACGAATGGTTGCAGCGTACTGCGTTTCGAACGAGGGTCTGCATCCTGAACAGGCCAAGATGTCCGACGTTGCATGTCAGGATAAGACTCCGCATGCAGGACTGTGTTCTGTTCCGGGCAGAGTGACTTGAGGACCATAATTTTATCGGTCTCAAAGTACAAACGAGAAGCCAAAATTGCAAATTGGGGGAGTACACTGGGATTCGTAGTCATGTTTTGGAAATGTCGCATTGCAAAAAGCCACATTTGACACCATCCAGCATCGAATTGAAGTTCTGGCTCGATGACGCGGACTTCGAGCGTCGAGTCGGACGTTTGGACGGGATAGCGGTTGTCTTCTATCGTAGGTCGTTTGAAACTGGCCCGGAAGGCATCATGTAGGCTACCGTATCGAGGAAGCGATACAAGTGACTTCATGCAGCTCGCACATTCTTCAAGGTACCTGAAATGTTTGAAGAATGTCGATACCGAAAGGACTACGACGTTTAAGCTGCAAAGATTTTGCCAGAAGAATTTCCGTTCAGTTTGGTCGAAGTTCCTGAACGCTCGACCGCTGGCAACAATGCTGTGGAGATCTCGTTCATCTCTGGCAGAGAAGCCAGGACACTTGAGCTCCAAGAACTGTACTGTATCCGTGTCGATTTTGACTAGGTTGGACTCAACTCCTCCAACGATGTGCAGCCAAATATCATAGATCAGTCCCAAATAATTGACAATTTCCTGGACTTATCGTTAGTCAGGTCCAGGAAAGAAGCAGATGGAATACAAACCTCATCGCATCGCACGCTCATGAATTTGTGAAGACTACCCGTCGACATACCCGATCGGATGCCCGTGATACCTGCCAGTTTCTCGAATGCGCTACGCAACTGCGGATGATCAGCAATCTGCCTCACGCCCCTCTTCTGATTGGAAGATAAGAGGTCTTCCAAACGATGGACCTGTCGTGTTTGTTGATTCTTCCTATACCGCAGTATCTCAAAGAAGGTGTCGCTCTCTGTAGATACTTTGTTGATAGCGAAGGGATCGTCTGCCATGATGAAGATATGGTTTCCAGGTGATCCCAGATTTAACTCTGTGCTTACTCCTTTACTTTATACACGCACCTACGCCTCTGTACGCAATTCAGAAGGACGATGAGGAGCCGTATGTGGCATTGCCACAGGATCATTAAGAAAAAACCCCCACTGGTCATGTCTCCTTGTATTTCATCCAGTAGGTTAATCAGCAAATGTTTGCGGTCGTCCAGTCACACGAATCCAACTTTGGATTTTGGATGTCTGACTCTAAGGATGGGGCCATTTTGGGATGGTCTCAGTAACCAGTGGCAATTGACGCTAACGCAAGCACGAATTGGTAGGTGAAAGCCGTTTTGCTTTCCCGTCGAAGTAAGAGATCGCTTCGAGACCTTCCTGATGTCGGGCTGTACAATACTGTCTACAGTACCCTGTACATACATACATACATAGTTTATTACGCCCCGGCTAAGCTATCCTTCGTTCATACATACATACATACATAGTTTATTACGCCCCGGCTAAGCTGTTTAGGGCTCGCATGATTATCTACATATTCTCCACATTCGTTCATATCCTTGCCTCCCAGAAGCCCATACAAGTCTTGTTCGTCTCCGTATGTGTCTTTTTTAGTTTTGCATGTCGATGCTGCGGTTGCTCGTGGGGTTAGTAGCAGGCCATCTCGGAGTTGTTTCTCAAAGTGTTCGACGTCCTATCGTCGGCGGCCGAAGCTAGTCCTGCTGTCGATGGCACGAGGATGCGTGGGGGTGTCTCCGGTTAATTTGATGATGTTAGTTGCGTGTGGTTTCGCTGCTGGCTGATCTGTGCATCTAGCCTCTCCGTGCTCATGGCGAACTTGATCGTCTCTTTGACAACGTCTACGCTTGGCGACCAATCCTTAGGGTCGGACGCGCGCTTTCCTCCCAGGAAGTATGACAGATTTCCTCTCCGCGTTTCCGTCTGTTGGAGCATCCGAGTCCGCTGTGCCGTCCACTGTGTGCATCGAAAGAGAAAATGCTCTACCGTTTCTGCAGATTGCCCGCAAGCGCATAGCGCCGCGGCGGTTGCGCCGATCTGGTAGAGGTACCAGTTCAGCCTTGCCATTCCGGTGCGTAGTTGCGCTAGAATGCTGGCTTCTTTCCAGGCCAGTCCGTCATACAGCTTGCGTGTGTGGTTTCCCGGCAGGGCTATGTCGATCTTCTTCGAATATGCTCCTACGTTGTCGGGCAAGGCTCCGTGCTTCTGTCGCACGCTCTGTAAAGCGATCCTAAGTGCCGTCGAGTAGGCTCTGGCCGGCCGTTTTTGTGGTGTCTTGTTTACTTGGGTACTTTCCTTTGCTGCTGCTTTGGCCGCTTGCGCCAGGTCTGACTCTATCGATGATGGAAGCCAGAAGAGAGTGACTCTGTTGCCTCGTCTCTGCAGAGCTTGCACGCTGGCATATAGTTGTCGGATCTCTTGTTGGCCTGACTGCTGCCGCGGGTTGTGCATCACCAACACTGCCGCTTTGTTGCGGGTGAAGACGTGGATGGCCCGGTACTCGAGTCTCTCTGGGAGAGACTTGACCGCTTCTGCCAGTGCCGCTAGCTCTGCTACATACGGGTTCTGCTCCGTTCTCTGACCGAACGTACGCGAGGCCGTCACGACGCCACCGCCCCCTCTGAAAGATGCGGGCAGCGTCGTCGCCGTTCCAAAGCCCACAACCTCGTTTCTCGCTGAGCTCCCTGTCGCTATCCTCACTGCCCATCCAGACCGGATTGCCTTGATGGCCTTGACCGTGTCGTCGTCGACTACTGTATCAATACGACGTTCCCAAGGAGCGATCGAATACCCTTCGATAGTCTCCAGCTTGTCAAGGGGTAGGTCGCGATAGGCCTCCGCCATCAACTGGAAGGGTGACGGAAACCGTCTAAAGGCCACCGCCCGCAGACGTCGAAGCGGATGGGTCTTGGGAAGGCTTCGCATCCGTACCCAGAATGTGGTTGATTTTCTGTCGTATCTCTCTTGCGCCGATTGTATGCTTGCCTCCGCTTCAGCGACCGCCGTGGCCACCGTGTTGAAGGTTCCCACGATCGCTTGGGCGCCAATCCTCTGCACTCGGTTGATCACCCTCATCTGCGCTGCTCGACACCTGTACCTCCAGACGTTCGACGCGTAGTCCATCGTCGGTGCTACGGCCGCCACGAAAAGCTGTCTGGCCGTCGCCGGAGACAGGCCTTTGAGCCGTTTGAGCCCCAGCACGGCCTCCAGCCCTTTTGTCGTCGCGTCTGCGATGTGCTTTTCGAAACGGAGTTTCGTGTCCATCATCACTCCCAATACTTTGACGTGGTCCTTTGCTCGGACAGTGTCACCTTTGATGACGAAGCTGGTTGAGTCCGCCGGCAGCCTCCAGTTGCGCGTGAAGTGGATGATGGCCGTCTTGTCCGTCTCGAACGTCGCCCCGCTTCGTCGTTCCCACGCGAGTGCTCGATCGATAATATCTTGGATGCCCTGACGGTTTGCTTCGCGCGATCGGCCTGTGACCCACGCCGTGTAGTCATCGACGAAGGCCAGCGCGCCCCCGTTCTCGTCGATTTGGTGCTGTACGAGATCGGCGTTGAAGAAGAGGAAGAGCACGGGCGAAAGCGGCGAACCCTGAGGCAGTCCGGCTTGTGGTAGCGGACGAGCCTCGGACTCGTGACCGTTAACCAGGATGCTTGCCGTTCTATGGGAGCAGAAGGCGTCCACCCATCTCACCAGCTTGTCCGGGATCCCCCGCGCTCTGAGTCTTTGAAGTAGTCTCTCTTTGTACACACCATTGTATGCTCCCTTGACATCGAAGCTGACCAGACTGACCACCTTTCTCTTTCTCCACGCTCTGTAGATGTACTCCTGCAGCAGTACCAGCGCCTGCTCTGCCGACCTCTGCTTGCGAGCGCCAAAGTGGCTCGTGGGAAGGAGGCCGAACGTCTCGACAGCGTGCGAGATACGTTCTGCCAGGACCGACTCCAGCACTTTTCCGAGCGTCGAGAGAAGCGAGATCGGTCGCCAGGCCTTCGCTATACCGTAGTCGCTTTTGTTTGGCTTCTTCAGCGGGATGATCTTTGCGTGTCGCCACTGCCTCGGCAACACCCCTTCATCCAGTGAGGTCTGGAAGAGTGTAAGCACCCTCTCCTTCACCACTGGCCACGTGTGCTTCCACACTGCCACCGGCAGACCGTCCTCTCCGGGTGCTTTCCACGACTTTGCCGCAAAGAGCTGTCTCTCTACTTCTCCCAGTGTGAGGTTAGGGAAGGGTACCGGCGATCGTTGTGGCCGATCCCCCTCCTCCTCGATCATGCTGGGGAGAGGAGGGAAAAATGTGGAGAGCAGCTCTTCGGCCTGTTCTGCGGCGTCTCCCGTTTGGGAACCATCCGCCCTTTTAAGTTGAGGTATCTTGTCGAAAGATGCCCCTTTACTGGCGTCGAGATACTTCGCGGCCTTCCAGATATTGGCGTCGTCGGCCAGAAAGTCCTCCCAATGGCTCTTCTTCTGTTGTCGGATGGCATCGTGATATTGCTTGGCTGCCGAGCGTGCGCGTTGCTCCAGTTCAGGTTGACTGTTACCTGCCCTTCTCTCCGCTCTCGCCCGGTTTCTCCAGTGGGTATGGATCTGCCGGAGCTGGGTGAGGTCAGCCGTCCACCATCTCTTTGCATACGGTGATGGCTTGGCCGTAGGTGTCAGTGCCTCTACTGCCTCGCACACCACAGACATCAGTCGATCCGTCTGTTGCTGCACCGTACCTCCTGTTGGCATTCGCCCTAGGTTTGCTTCTACTCTCTCATTGATTTGCTTCCATGGGGCGTTCTTGAGGAGGAGCCGTGGCCGGCTTTCCATCTCAGGCGCGGCGATGTCGAAGGTCGTCTCGATCGCCCGGTGGTCCGACCCGTGGTCCGTCTCGTGCAGGCCGCATCGTACCACCGTTCTTGCTAGCTCTTCGGACGCGAGGGATAGGTCGATCGTCGTTGCCGCATCGTTCTTCTCCCACGTCTTCGTGCCACGCGGAAGGAGGCTGCGGAGCGAGTACTCGCTCATTAGATCGATGATCGGGTCCGCCTCGCCCTGCCGGCCCTCCGACACATCGTCACCTCCCCACAGGTAGTCGTGGCAGTTGAAGTCTCCTACCAGAACCACGTCCACCCTCTCCCCTGTTCCTCCTCGGACATTCGTGATAGCTTGTCTCAGCAGGTCGCACGCCTGCCGCAGCATCTCCGGCCTCTGCACCGGCACGTACACCGACGCCACTATCAGTCTTCGATCCGGAAGCCGGACGATGGCCGCAGTGATATCCGAGGACGCTATCGGCAGCTGCTCTGTCTCTACGTCTCTGTTCACCCAAAGCAAACTCCTGATTCCCCATCTTCCTTCGTCCCTCCACTCCGTTGGTACCATCCTCGTCCACCTGCTATTGCCCATCGGAACCGTAATGACCTTACCTTCTATCCTCCGCGCCCATGGCTCCTGCACCGCTATGGCCGTGAAGTCGCGCAACGCCTCATCATTCATCAGACTTTCCTGCACTGCAGCCTGTTTCCTCACGTTGAGCTGAAGGATCTGGACCTTCCTACTCATGGAGACGCGGATACAGCTTCGGACAGTTCTTGCTGAACGACTCGTGCGGTCCGCCACAAGGCGCGCATGTCACGATCGTCTCACGGCATTCAGAGTGGTGGTGGCCTACCTTGGCGCAGCGTCCACACACCTGGGGGTTTGCGCATTGATACGCCTTGTGCCTGGTGATCTGCTGGCAGTTGTAGCACTGCTGGGGGCGCGGCCGCCGTTCAAACGCCATCGTCGTGCCGGACTCTCCTCCAACGTGGAAGAAGCCCTCGGAGATCAGTCTACGCGCATCACCGGCCTTGGTCACGAACACGACCATGGACCCATACGCCTTGGGTATCTCTTTCTTGCTAAGCCAAGAAATCTTGGCAACCGTGGTCTCGTTTTCTCGGCTAAGTGCCTCCGCCGCTTCAGCCCTGACATTGCCCTTCTCATCCAGTACCTCAATTCGCTTCACGTTGTCGATCTTCACGGGATAGAGTTCGTCTCGTAGCACGCGTGCTCCACGGCCGAAGCTCTTCTCCGCGATCTGCTTGACATACCTATGCTCCGCATCGTCGCGACAAATGATCCGGATCCTATCCGCGTTCCTTGGGTCTACCGTGACGGCCAGACACCGCCAGCTACCCTGTCCGTCCAACGCGCGCATCT